TTGCACACAGATTCCGTGGTGCTTTGAGGTCTCAAAGGTATTACCAGGTCGGCTGTTCTTGTTGATTTTCTTTTTAATAGATGCAGTCACAATAGCGGTGTGGTGCACACTGTCTGCACGCCCTACATTTAAAGCAAGCGAAGCCAAGCCACCGTCTCGAGAATCCTGGTAACTGTTGTTCACCCATCACAGACCTACCATTCCTGGCAGTTCCCAGGATTCTTGGGGGGTTGGAAATGTGCTTCAAATGTGCTCTTCCACAGTTTCTCTGTATGAAACGTCTCCAGGATTATTTTCAAAGCAGTTGCGGGGGGTGTTTTTTGTGTGCACTTCTTTTAAAAATAAGCTTCCCTTGGCTACCCCCAGGTATTCATTGGGCAAGGAGGAAAGAAACCACCACCTAAACACATGTGCCCATGCGCTCGTGCACACACGCACACACACACAGGCAGGCAGCCGTGGGGAGGGGGGGTGGGGGGTAAGGCTTCAATTGTCCTTCCGAGTTTTTCAGCTGTGCCTTTGCTCATTGTATGCAGGAAGCGCAGTTGGTCTTGGATCTTTGCACACACTGCGGGGACAACCCGTCCGCCCCCCCTCCTTTCTGCAACCTTGCCCCCTGCTCCCTAGGGGTGGGGGCAGGCCAGGCCAGGCCTCCTGGCACATTGAGATTTGCAGCATCCCTTTCCCCCCCCGCCCCCCAGGAACACAAGGGAGTGTGTCTGAAAAGCACAGACACGCGCCTGCCTTGACCTCCCTAACCCCCATCTCCATAAAGCTGCAAGGCCCCCTTGCAGATGCCAGACAATGGGCCCCCCTCCCCAGCGCAGCACCACCACCACCGAGGAGCTGTCTGTGGTTAACCCGTTAGGGTCCGGATCCGGGAGGAAGGGGAAGGAAGATACTGCTAGAGAAGTGGATAAAGAAGGGTGAGGTATGAGACGTGCCTGGTTTATAGGAAGCCTAAAGTTAAAAGGGCGACGAGTCAATCCAGCTCTCTTCCTGGGGCGAGTTGCGGCAGCTTCTGTGAGCAGCTTGCCCCTCTGCAAAAAATGCCCTTTGAGGTTTCCTTCTCACATTGAACTTCAGTTTTCTCATTGGGGTATACCCAATACAGGTGAGCAGCACAGCCCCTCTCCCAGGTTATGCAGCCTCCCCAGGCCTCTTGAAGCTGCCCTTTTCTTCCACCCCATCAGCCTTCCTGCCTGCCTGCCTGCCTGCCTGCCTGCCTGCCTGCCTGCCTCCTCATTTTCCTGGCTTTTGAACATGCCCCCCCCCCCTTTTTGTGTAGTTTCTGAACAACTGGAAGGGGAAGTAGTTTATTGGATAATCATCATCATCATCATCATTATTTTTAAAGAAAACTCTTCTCCTGGTTATGTGGCTTGAGGATAAGAAGCTTGGTGGGGGGAGTGCCTTCTGCTCTGTGTTTGTGTGTAGCACACTAATGTCAGAAAGTAATTGCTTTCACTTGCTTTCTGGAACAGTAGTTCTATTGTTCTATTGTACAGTACTTAAAAACAAACAAACCATACCTCTCTGCATACTTATTTAAGGGGAATCCCATCACATCCAGTGGTGTCTTCCTTCTGAGTAGGGCTGCATAGGACAAGGGAATTGGAGATAGCTATGATGAAAATTTAAACATGGCAGTCTTTATTTCAGATTAGTCAGGCCAGGACACTTTTGCATTTGGCACAACTCATCATGGGTCCTGGCTATGTCCTCTGCTAACCGTCCTGTGTGGCACCTTTCAAGAAATTCAGACTGCAATTCTGTACATACTTAACAGGGAATAAATCCACATGGAGTTCAGTGGGGCTTACTTCTGAATAATGTACAGCTTCTTTGGCATGAACCCACATTAGAAATGGCGATAGCCGAGACCCCCTTCTGAAACAAAGTAAGGGACTTTGGTGCTAAGTATTAATTGAACTGCAATGACTGCTGCCGTTATGAACTGTTGTTTAGTGGTCTGTTGTTGTTTTCAATGGATTGTGTTTTTCTAAAACAAATGAATAAAACTGCAGTGTTTAAGTGTCCACTGTTTCTTCACAAAGAGAGAACCAGGATTTGGCCACCCCCGCCATGACTTCTTAGTAAGCCCTACCAATTCCAGGGGGCACCAGATACCACTGGGCTTATTGGTGTTTCGTAATATTTGGATGTATCTACAAATATGCAGAAAATATTGTGCTTACCTTCAGGTACATGGTGTTACAAAGTCACCTGCTCTCTAGGGCAGATGGCCCCAACCTGGCACCCTCCAGATGTTTTGAACATTCACCTCTTTCTCACAATGGCTTCTAATATCCCTGGCCTTTGTCTACACAGTACTAGCTAGGGTTGATGGGAGTTGTAGTCTTCCCAGGTTGGGGGAGGCTGCTCTAGGGAGAGGAAACTAGCCCCTCCCCCCAACTACTAAGATGTAACTTAGTTTATGGAGCGCAAACAGCTTTAAACCTCTCTCCCTGTCTATCCTGTAGTAGTCTCACTCAAGCTGCAGTCTGGAGAGGAAAGTTTGCTCCTTTCCCAAAACATCTCTCGCCTCTTAGGGGAGCTTCCAGCTATTTCTGAGTCATTTTGCAGAGGAACTCAGGGCCCATCCACACCCCAGCTTAATGTGGACCCCTCCGTCCTTTTTTAATTCCCAATTGTCCATATAACTGGCACAGGAGACAGCTGCTGTCCCCAACTTTCTCCTGCTAAATCCGGAGTTTCCCCATCCTTGGAAAATCCAAAAATGAAATCTGCTCCACTTTAAAAGTGCTCCTACTAGTTTTCCATGGGTGCCTTTGTCCCCCCCTTTTTTTTTAAAAGTGGGTGTTTTTGAGGTGGAGCAGATTATGCAGAGTTGCTTGAAACAGCAAACAGTGGAAAAGGGAGAATGGACATGGAAACTTTGGTTAAAATCTCATCCAAATATAAACTGCTCAGGGAGCAGTGGACAAACTGAGATTATGCAAAGTGTGGATTTTGTGGGCAGGTTTGGATGGGCCTTTGGTCTGTTACTAGGAAGCAGCCCAAAAGAGCCAAGAGTCTTGAGGGATGCACCTGATGCTGGTCAACAAACGTTTAACAATTAAATGACTTAGTCTTTCAAGATGCTGGAAGATTTTTGTTGTTTGTTTGTTCTTGAAGAAGCAGGAGACCTTTGGAGGGTAGCAGGTGGTAGAGCTGAATAAATGGCATTCACAGTCAGAGATGCATTATAGTATCAGAGTGGAGACAGAAGCCCATGGAGGCGCTGAGTGATGGGCTTACTTGTGAGTCACCTTCACCACTTGACTCTCCAGCCTTGGTTGGCCCTATTTAAACTGGAACAACGAGGACATTGAAAGGCACCTACACACATACTTTCATATACAGTGGTACCTCTGGTTATGTACTTAATTCATTCCGGAGGTCCGTTCTTAACCTGAAACTGTTCTTAACCTGAAGCACCACTTTAGCTAATGGGGCCTCCCACTGCTGTTGTGCCACCGCCAAGCGATTTATGTTCTCATCCTGAAGCAAAGTTCTTAACCCGAGGTACTATTTATGGGTTAGCAGAGTCTGTAACCTGAAGTGTATGTAACCTGTAGCGTATGTAACCCGAGGTACCACTGTACTTAAGAGTGGTTCCCTAACCATGCTGCCCAAAATGGTGGCATGCAGGGAACAGCAATGGTCGCTTTCCCCAAGTTATCAACCTCTCTTTTGTGACTGGGCCTAAGACTTCAGTCAGGCCATAGACCTATCTAGGCCAACATGATGTTCTCCCAGTGATTAACCAAATGTGAGAAGCCCACAAGCAGCATGGGAGCGTCATGGTATTCTCATGTTCCCTAGCCTATGGTATTCAGAGGCAGGTTGCTTCTGATCCCATGGGTAACCTTCTCTCTTCCATGATTTTGTCGAATCCCCTTCAAAAGCCATCCAAGATGGTGGCCATCACAACTTATTGGGGCAGGAAGTTCTGTATTTCATCTATGTGCTGGCTGTTTCCAGGGCACCTGTTCACACACAAAAAAGAGAGAGAAAAGACTCATTCTATCCAAGAGTCATGAAAAATTAAACTAACCCCCCGCAAAAAAAACATTCCTAAACTGAATGAGCCTTGAGGAAGAAGACATTCTGTGAAGCTTCTTCCACAATATTTGCTGTCAAAACTTTCTGGAAACAACTGAAGGCATTTTTGTTTCCAGAAAACTTTTCCAGGTAGATAAGGTCTCATTCTTAGGTGTTCGTTTTCTCTTGTTTTTAGACCTCCATATAGCAGTTAAAAATATTGTTTTAAATATTATTTATTCATTGTTTGCTTGTTTTTTTTTCCATTTACATTGCACCTTTTCTCCAAGGAACTCAAGGTGGTGTAGATGGTTCTCTCCCTCCCTCATTTAATCCCCACAGGAACCCTGTGAGGTAGGTCAGGCTGAGAGATGGTGGCTGGCCCAAGGTCAGCTGGCTGGGGCTGATGGGAGCTGTGGTCCAAAACACCCAGAGGGCACCAAGTTGGAGAATGCTGCTCTCACCACTAAACCACGCTGGTAGAATGCCTTCACTGTTTTACGACATTTTAGTTGCTTTTTATGGTATGTTTGCAAATCAGCTTGAGAAAAATCGACCTGCGGAAGGCGACTCTCAAACAAACGGATGAAATGAAAGACGGTGCCGGATGACTGCCTTCACTTCCAGATGAAGTCAGCCCAGCCTGCTGCGTCTGGGGACCCTCCTGCGTAGACCCTCCTGGAACAGGGCTCTGGACTTCTGCCACAGTCGCGGGTTCGATCCCCACTACGGGCCACTTGCATATTCCTGGACTAGACTAGACTTCCAACTCCACGATTCTACGAGTTCATGGATCCTACGATTCTATAGAAGTCCTACTGCTGGCGCCGCTGCCTGGCTCCTTCGCCAACCTGCCCTCCTCCTCTGATGTTCCTTTCTTCCTTCCTTCCCTCTCTTTCTCGCGCCCCCTGTCGGCCCGTCGCGTCGCGGTTCCCTTCTCCGACCGGGACCCGCCTCTCCTCTCTTCTCCTGCCGCCGGCTCCGCGTCTCTTGGCGGCGCTCCCAGATTCCTGCCCCCGGCCGGAGATTGGCTGCGAGGCGAGCGGAGCGGGCCCGTCGGGGCGCGCGTTGCTCTCCAGCCTTGGCAGCGGCGGCCGGGAAGGCGAGCCGCCTCCGCTCCGCTTCGCCCCTCCTCTCCTCCTCCTCCTGCTGCTTCTCCTCCTGGGCTCGCCTCCCCTCCGCTCCAGCGGCTCCCTCGGCCGCCTCGCGCGCAGCTTTCCGCGGGGCGCCCCGTAGGGGCCAGGCGAGAGGCGCGCCGCGCTCCTCCGCGCCGGGCTTGGCCTGCGGGCCGCGGGATGCCAAGATGCCCTGGCGGGGGCTCGCCGTGCTGTGGCTGCTGGCGCTGGGCTGGCCGGGCGCCGCCGACGCCGCTTCTGCCGCCGCCGCCTCGTCGTCGTCGGCGGGCCCCTCGGAGCGGACGGCGCTGGCGCGGGAGCGCTTCAAGGTGGTCTTCGCCCCGCTCATCTGCAAGCGGACGTGCCTGAAGGGCCAGTGCCGCGACAGCTGCAAGCCGGGCAGCAACATGACCCTCATCGGAGAGAACGGGCACTCCATGGACACCCTCACGGGCTCCGGCTTCCGCGTGGGTGAGATGGGCCAACTCTTCTCCCCCCACTCCAAGCAGGGCGGGAGAGGGGCCAGGGAAAGGCTGGGGAGGGGGCCCTTGGGGAGTTGTTGTTCCGGAGTAAGTCACCCACTTGCAAATGAAGGGTTAACGCTCCCGCCGCCGAACCCCTTCATTTGCCCCAGATGTTGCTCAGGCGAAGGAGACATCCCCTCCTTTGCAGAAGTGCGTTCCTGGAGGTGCTCACGGGGCTCTGATGCTCTCTGGTCAATCCCAGTGCAGGAGGCAACTCACCCCTAGTGTCAGGATCCAAGCCCGAGTTAACCCGGGAAGGTGGGTTGGTGGCATAATCAGGCAAGTTGGATGCTTTTCCCAAGAAGAGATGCACTTCCTACTGTTTGTTTTTCAACATCGAGGCCAAAAGGCCTTGCCCACTTGAGGACACTTAACTTTTACGCACTTTTCCAGAGAGCATCTAGCAACACACATACACACACCACTGCCGTTGCCCCTCCCTCTATCTGTTCTCTCTCTCTATTTCTCTCTCTCCCCCGCCACCCCATTCTTTCCTCAACTGCTTTTGGCTGGTGGAAAACCTTACCTCATGTCCCAGCCCATCTCTGGGGCCCTGGCTGCCTCAGAGTTGCAGCAGCAGATCAGAACCGTTAGCCAAGCAAATACACAGGCAGATCCAGAGGCTGCCTCGCCAAGACAAACGTGCGTGAAAAGGCCATGAAAACACTTGCTAGGTAGGGATAAACAGGAGCCCAAATGGCCTAGATAGGATTTAGTTTTTGGCCCAAGATCTCTAATGGCTATTGCCCAGAATTTGTTTTCTGTGTGCCAGTCAGAGGTGGCACACAGGGCTGCTTTAAAACGGTGGGCCACAACAACCGCTCTTTAGAAATTAAGCTGACTGCGGAGAAGGCAGGACAAGTCAGCAACTGAGCTACACAAAACTCTGCCGCTTTCAGGCCAAGATTTGGGGCAGCGGGACTTGCTGCAACCTAGGAAGAGTCCTACTTCATACTACAATTTATATAGCTGCTCCATAACTCAAATTCATGGGTGGCCCATGAGGAGCAGGAGGAGAAAGGAACCACAATTAAGGCACAACATAAAACAATTGATATACAGGCTTTTTTTAAGTACAAGGACCAGGTTGTAAATGGTCAGGGCTAAGTCCCATTTATTCACAGTGGCCAACCAAGATGCTTCAAGGTGAGTCCGCAAGCAGGACATGGGTGCAACAGCAACTCTCTCCCCATTTGCAATTCCCAAAACTGGTGTTCAGAGGAGAGGTCTATGCCTCAAGCGGTGGAGGTGGAACATAGCCATTGTGGCCATTGTAGCTACCAATAGACTGATCCTCCATGAATTTGTCTAATTCTCTTCTAAAGCCCTCCAATTTGGTGGCCCTAACTACCTCTTGTTGGAGTGGATACCATAGATTTAACTGTGTGCTGTGTGACGATATACTTTCCTTTTGTCTGTCCTTAATCTTCCAACATTCACCTTCCTCAGATGGCTCCTGAGTTCTAGTATTACAGTATATATATATATATATACAGTATATATATATATATATATATATATATATATATATATATATGAGAGAGAGAGTGAGTGATGGGTCTGTAAATGGCTGTCAGGCATGATGTGATAAGAATTTTAAACAACAATGACAAGTGAGGTCTGCAGCAAAGTGTTGCAGCATGCTCCTTTCCAGGGTTCCCACCGTACTTCCTCTTCTAGAATATTCCGTTTCATCTGCCCGCTTTCCTGGTTTTCTGTTTCCTTCACACCCCCTCCTCAAAACTGTCCATCATTCCACGACCACTATGATTTTTCCTTTTCGTCCTTTTGCAAACTTACATACTTAATGGTAGTTTTTGATGACACAGACATCCTGAAATTGGCAAGCCTATAACACCAGAACACCACCACTAGCCTCATAATTTGTCTAGCCCTATTTTGAAGTGGATAAACTGGTGGCACTTGGGCAAAGAAGGGGAAACCATAAGGCAGGGGGAATTGGCGCCCAGGTGAATGGCGCCCAGGTGAATGCAGTTCAGTGACAGAGCACCTGCTTTGCATGCAGAAGGTTCAATCTCTTGCAAAGGGTCAAACAGGAAGTGTTGGGGAAGACCCTTCTCTGCCCAAGAACCTGGAGAGCTGTTGCTAGTCAGAGCAGACAATACTGGCTTCCTAGGCATTTTTAGTCTGAGGGTTTAAGCACCAGGATCTGTTTCTAGCCCTGGCATTCAAGTTGGCATGTGTGGTTTCAAGCCGCCATGAGTCCCTGAACTTCTCTTTATGCAAACCATAGGAGTCAACTCCTAGGGACTGAGATCTCTTTGCCCCCCCGATAAAATATTTGGGGGGCCGCCCCACCCCCTTCCCAAAGTTGATGGGCACTGCCATTCCTAGGCAGGCAGGCTTTGCTGACAGCAGCCTTCTCCTTTGCTGTAAAGATTTCTTTACCAGCTGGACTGGTATCTGACTGCCAAAAATCTCTCCCCCTTTTAAATCGCCTAGGGCGCAAATCAGGGTCTCTTGGAGAGGACTCTCCTTGGCAAGCGTAATCTTTGTTCAGGAGTGGAAGAGGGGAGCGGTGGAAGGGAACGTCCTTCAGCTAATGGAATCCAGAGGTGGAAACTTTGGCCTGTGAGCCCATCTCGCTAGCCAAGAGCTGGAGAGGTGGGGCCTCTGGGAGTATGCAGAGAGCGAGGGCTCCGAATCAGTCCAAGTTTTGGTCTGGTCTAGCCCAGAAGCGGCACCCCCTCTTCCCCCTTCTACATTCCGAACCTTCCCTCCTTCCCTCCATCCTGAGCATTTTGGATTTGGAGTCCTGTTTCCTTCCTAGATCGCCTTCCCACCACCCCCATGTTTTGTTTTTCTTTGCACAAAGGCTCAAGATACCCAATATGAGCCAAAAACTGCGGTGTTTGTTGACTTTCTGCAGCTTGGGAAGGAGGCCGGCCAGCGTGGGAAGGAGCCTTGCTGGCTTGGTTGATTACTCTCTGCAGAGGGGTCCCTCCCTATAACCTCTCCAGTCTGGGATACCCGAACTTTTGGGACAGCCAAATCCCCAGAAGGCATTGCCTTAGCTAGGACCGCACATTCTCAAAAAGGCTAGATAAGTATTTCAGAGCTTTTCCTGACCCTTTCAAATTTTGTTATCTTCAAGGGGAAGGACTGTAGGCCAATGTTAGGGCACCTGCTCTGTGTGCAGAAGGTGCAGTATTTGGTCCGGGCTGGGAGAAGGCTTCCTGTCCAAAACTCTAGAGAGATGCTGCCAGAGAGAGTGGACAAGACTGAACCAGATGGGCTGATGGTCTGACTCTGCATATGGCAACTTCCAAGGTGGCTAATATAAGCCATGGACTCAGACCTCAGTAGGTAGTTTTGAGAGCATTCAGTCGACCCACGTTTTCCAGAACTGAGTCCCGCATTTGCAGAACTCAGAAGCTCACAGCTAAATGTGTTAACCAATTCCAGGGAGAAATATTGTGTCTAAGCTGAAACTGGGAAATGTGGTGTCTCTTGATTGGGTGGGGTGTGTGTCCTGCATTTGGAATAGCTATTATTGTTATTACAGTGGTACCTCGGGTTACAAACACTTCAGGTTGCAGACTCTGCTAACCCGGAAGTAGTACCTCGGGTTAAGAACTTTACCTCAGGATGAGAACAGAAATCGTGCGCCAGTGGCGCAGCAGCAGCAGGAGGCCCCATTAGCTAAAGTGGTACCTCAGGTTAAGAACGGTTTCAGGTTAAGAGTGGACCTCTGGAACGAATTAAGTTTGTTACCAGAGGTACCGCTGTATTATTATTATTATTATTATTATTATTATTATTATTATTATTATTACTATTACTATTTACCTGCCCTTCACCAGCAGGTTCCAGAGCAGGAAACTTAAAATCATTAACAGTTGAAATAGATCCCAATCATTGGAATAGATTGGGTTCTGAAAACACACATCTCAGGTGCCAAAGGCCGAGTTTAAGAAGTGTGCCTTTCCACCTAGGGGAGTCCCTCCCTCCCCTTGCAAGGCGGGTGCTGTCCTGCTGAGCTTCAGCCCTTCCCAAAAACAGGCTTGTGTCATTTTTGCTCTCCTGGCTCAGTAAAAGGCAGCTTCCTCCTCTGTCTCCATGTCTGTGTCTCACTTTCTCACTCTCATCTCTTTGTTGCTGCTCTATAGCCAGCTCCTTCCCCTGACTGCTCTCCCCTTTTCCTTCTCCCCAATCATAACCTGCCATATCCTGAAGGTGGGGGGTGCCTTGGCACATTCCCAGAGCGTGGGCAGGGGCAAGCTAAGGGCACTTTGCATCCGTGGCCGGGTCAGCCTCTTGGAGGACTGGAGCCTCCCAGTTTCCCACTTCCGTTCTGCAGCTGCCTCCACACCATAAAGCTTTGTCATTTCACCATCGCCTTTGGCTGGGGCCTCCTTCTCCTGGGCTCAACCCCTTGTTTTCTCTCTGCCTCTGATATTGCTCAGAGGCTATTCAGTCACCTTTTTCTCCCAGGGACCGTGGGCAACTAGAACCCTGGTTATAGGAGCCTATGAGACGGGCAGATGAGGGGTTTCATGGGATGTGCTTTGTGTTGCATATACCCTCCAACATGTCCAGGCCCAAAACCAGGACGTGCTCCTGGGTGAGTCACATGACCCACGTGGGATTTCAGCCACGAAAACAGGGGTTTTGGGGGGTGAAATTGCTGCATTCAACATTGCCACCGTGCTCTCACGTGAGAAAACAGGATGTCCCGGTTTTCCCAGGATAGTTGAGGTGTATGCTATTGGAGACAGTGTGCTGCTGGGCATGTGCAGAGTGCCTTTCTTGCCACATTCAAAGCTGTGGGGCTTGAGGGCAGATTTTCTAGACCTGTAGGTGTGGGTTGAAAGTGTATTTATTGAGTGCTTTTATATCCCACTTTTTTTATCCAGGGAGCTTAAAGGAATGTGCATAGTTCTTCCTTGCAGCAACCCTGTGAGATATGTTAGGTTGAGAGCCTATGACTGGCCCAAGGTCATCCAGTGAGTGTCATGACTTGAGCCCTGGTCTCTGACCACTGCACCACCACTAAGCTCCAGCACCCCTCATTTCTTAGAAGAAGTTGCAACCGAGTTGGACTGGTGGCCTGACTCTTTGTAAGGGAGCTTCCAATGTTCCTAACTTCTGAGTATAGAAAGAAAAAAGTTATTCTCCCTCTTTAGGACTAATGGGAGGTGTCAAAAAGTTAGATTCAGTTAGCTATGGGAAGCATTTTAATTTTGTTTATCCAGTTTGATGTTTTATATGCCATTCTCTGTTAAGGTTGCTGCTTAACTGAATAATGTTTGGAAGGTCAGGTTGTGAAAAAAAGAGAAAAAGCCATTTTAGTTCATTTTCAGCAACTGCTGTATGTTCGTGGCTATGTTCGATGGGGCCAACACAGGTAACCAGGCTGGGGAAAGTTGCATTATAGGTCTGTCTGTGTGTGTCACAGGTTTGATCTCTGGCATCACCAGGTAAGACTGGGAATGTGCCTCGTCTATAACCCTGGGGAATTTCTGCCAGTCAGTGTTTGAAATAACAAGCTCGATAGACGAATGACTCACAAGGCAGCTCCTTTCATTTTCCAGTGAAAGGAGTTTTGATATTTGATATGAAACTTCCTGAAAGTCTGGGTTTGCCTAATCTGGGGTGTGTTCAGACTCCCTCCTCTCCCCATTTCATACAATACTGGCTTTGTGGCTGTTTCCAGAACTTCAGAAGAAATGTCAGAATTCCCAGGTTTGACTGTAGGCCCACGCTTTGTAAATTGCACACATCTGCAGCTTCTCCTGATTTTATGGGATGCTATTGTTGTAGACATTCAGCAGACAATCCAGCTTCTGAGTCAAGGAGTTACTCATGTTTATATATCCCAACCTGCCCTGTTTCCCTCTTTGGGGCTTCTCCACCCCAGGTTCCCCCCCCCCATTTTGAGAACTTCCTTGCGGCTTGTGCCCCCACAGTCCCTGAATTGTTGGCTATGCTGCCTGGGGATGATGGGGGTTGGAGTCCAACAACATCTGGAGGGCCACAGGGTTATTATATTTTTAGATATACAGTACTGTAAGCTGCCCAGAGTGGTTGGGGAAACCCAGCCAGATGGGTGGGGTAATCATCATCACCATCATCATCATCATCCTGCTAGATCAGTCCAGTGGCCAATAATCTAGCATCCTGTTCTCACAGTGGCTAACAAGGTCATAGACTCACAGAATTGGACCACAAGATGCTTGTGGGAAGCCTGAAAGCAGGACCTGAGCTCAACAACATCACACCCCTCCTGTGGCTTCCAGCAACTGGTCTTCAGAACCACCACTGCCTCTTTCTGTGGAGACGACACTAGTAGCCAGAAGTGGTGGTAGCAGAGATATTAGAGCGGTATGCTTCTGAATACCAGTTACTGACTTGCACACCTTTTGTTTGTTTGTTTGTATATTTTTAATCAAATTTGACCACTTACGCTGCATGTTAATAATACAAACACAAATGTGTTAAAGCTGTAGCATGGCAGAAAGTATGCTATGTTTGTTTGCTTTAAGCAAACTAATAATAATAAATAAATATGTGCACCCCCGAGACCACTCCATTGTAACTATCCAACCTCTCAAAATTTCCAAACCTCTTGCGATGATGGTTTGGCCCCTTTCCATTTTAAGATTTAAAGATTTAAAGATTTTAACTTAGTTTCAACCAGTGTACAACATGTTAAGAGAATTGAATGACACAAGGTAAAAATATAATAATGGATCACTTGATATGGAATGACCCAAAATAGGAATTAAGGGTGGTTGTTTTCTTAGGACGGTGGAGTTTGTGTGTACTGTGTCCTGTTAGCGTTGTGGTGGATAGGAAATGCTCTGTGGGGTGGGGCAGGGGGATCCAAAATGGGGAGGTTGAGGAGAGTCAGTCAGCGGGGGAGTGAGAATTGTCCACCAGTTTCATCTGAGGAATGTCGGAGGGTACGGACTCATTGATGGGGAGAGTACAGTCCTGCTTGGGGGCTGTCTGTCTGGCCGCTGTGAGAACCGGATGCTGTAATAGATGGGCCTTATCCACCCATATTCTTATCTGCCTGACTTATATGTTATAGGAAGAAGCTCCAAAGGGCATGTGCCACCACATTAAAGCCCCGGTTCCTACATTGTACAGAACAGATTTCCTGGCAAAGTGATATCTGCAGGAGGTCAACTTTAGGCCACAGTGTGTGGCAGGTTGGACTTAAGGCAGCCAAGGAATTTCCACACACCCTCCCCAAGGGGGATAAAAAAATGTCCCTTACCGATCTTTCCCTGCTGGGTTGGCCCGTCCGTAGCTGGGCACCATGCCCTGCTCTTTTATTTGTTTTTGTGAATGGAGGGTGGCGTTTGGGCAGGACCAGCCTGCAGCTGCTGACTGTTGTCTGGGGATGAGTGTGTGTGCGTTGGAGTGGGCATGTTTGCCAGCTTCCCGGCTGCTGACTCAGCACTCGGAATTCAAAGAGGCTGAAATGTTGTTCTCTCAATCTTGGTAGCTGCAAATGTCTTTCTCCCCGCTCTTTGTCCAAAGGTTCGTTTTCTGGGAAAGGGGGAACCCTTGGAGCTGGGGAGTCATTCAGTGAAGAAGTGGCAGACATGTTTTTAAAAATTAAGTTCCTGACAGGCACTTGTGCAACATAAAACCGTACACATACATAAACACACACCCTCCAAAGTAGAGTATACCTTCCAACATTTATCCGATGAATTTTTTTATTATTTATACCTCACCTATTGGACTGGGTTGCCCCAGCTATTATGGGCAGCTTCCAACATACTGTATTTTTCCCTGTATAAGACGATATTTTCCCTAAATTTTTCAAAGTTTAAAATTGGGAGTCGTCTTATACACAGAATGTTGCAATTATTTATTTTCTAAGTTTGGGCTCAAAAAATAGGGGTCATCTTATACATGGAAAAATATAGAATATAAAAACATAATTAAAATTTTAAAAACTTCCCTCTAACAGGGCTGCCTTCAGATGTGTTCTAAAGGTTGTATAGTTATCTCCTTGGCTTGGGTTTGTTGTTTTTTTTGCATAACTCCATACCCTCCAACATTTATCCGATGAAAATAGGGATGTCCTAAGGAAAAGCAGGACATTCCAGGATCAAATTAAGCCTCTGTGGTCTCCTAACCTAACGACCTGGAAACTGGGATGGCTTCTGTAAATCCAGGACTGTCCTGGGAAAATAGAAGAGTCTGAAGTTGGAGATTTTACAGTTTGCCTGAACCATAGTCAGAGAGATTTAAACATGCAAAGTGAGGCAGTACCCCACCCATATTAAGCACTGTTTGAATTATCACAGGGTTTGATGCATCTCAAGTTAATGCTTCCCCTCTCTGTTTCTCTCTCCCCCCCACCCCCCGGCAGTGGTTTGCCCTCTGCCCTGCATGAACGGTGGGCAGTGTACATCTGGGAACCATTGCTTGTGCCCTCCAGAGTTCACAGGGCGATTCTGCCAAGTGCCAGCCGGCCGCCAGAGCCAAAGCCAGCAGGCCCGACTGCCCAGTGAGGGCCTTGCCATGGAGACGGGCTCCAGCAAGCACGCCATCTATGCAGTCCAGCTCATCTCGGACGGCCACGGGGACACGGCCTCTGGGCCCGGCTCGAAAGGCACCATCAGCCACTCCACCTTCATGGTGCCTCTGGGCCCTGGACAACATTCATCCGAAGGTACCCGAGAAGGGGCATTTCTGTGTGGGTAGGGATGGATTCTGCTTTGAGAAGGGCACCGGCCACCATGGGAGAATTGCGGGTAGTTAGGTTAGGAGACCACAGAGGCTTAATTTGAACCCAACTGTGGGAACTTGTGTGTGAAATAAGATTCCCGAGCATGTGCAGAGTGCTTTTTTTAGTCCCCCGGCATCGGTGCTTAACTTCTCAGTGGCACGTTGCTGAGACTCAATCCTGTCATGCGATCCACCCCAGCACCGCACAGCCCTTCCTCTAAATTCCACTGTTCATAGTTAAGAGAAAGAAGCACTCTGCATGCGCTCAGAAGCACTTTTGTCTAGGTGGTGGCAGGCTCTGTGGCTCAGTCCAGCTTACCTCTTGCCCAGCAACTGCAAATTGGTAAGGTGGTAGATAAGCAAATGACAGAAAAGGGGTGCCTCTGACCATGTTAAGAATGACCACATCCAGCTCCTACAACACTTGTGGCTAAAGGAGACGTCTGTGAGATCAGCAGACAGAATTTCCAAGCAGGCTTAAACTCCATTACTGTTCTTTTCAGAAAAGGACCACAAATCTGAGGAATTTGCTGGGGTCACCATGTTAATATATATGTGACCTAAAAAGGTAAAGGTAAAGGACCCCTGACAAGTTAAGTCCAGTTGCAGACTAGGCTTTACAGGCCTGGCAGTTAAATCTAGTTGCAGACTAGGCTTTACAGGCCTAGGGAGCTGGTGTTTTCCCCAGACAGTTTTTCCAAGTCATGTGGCCAGCATGACTAAGCTGCTTCTGGCGAAACCAGAGCAGCGCATGGAAATGCCGTTTACCTTCCCACTGGAGCGGTACCTATTTATATACTTGCACTCTGACATGCTTTTGAACTGCTAGGTAGGCAGGAGCTGGGACTGAGCAACAGGAGCTCACCCCGTCGCGGGGATTCAAACCGCCGACCTTCCGATTGGTAAGCCCTAGGCTCAGTGGTTTAGACCACAGTGCCACCCGCCTCCCATATGTGACCTAAGGTAAAGGTAAAGGTACCCCTGCCCATACGGGCCAGTCTTGACAGACTCTAGGGTTGTGCGCTCATCTCACTCTAGAGGCTGGGAGCCAGCGCTGTCCGCAGACACTTCCGGGTCACGTGGCCAGCGTGACAAGCTGCATCTGGCGAGCCAGAGCAGCACACGGAAACGCTGTTTACCTTCCTGCTAGTAAGCGGTCCCTATTTATCTACTTGCACCCGGGGGGTGCTTTTGAACTGCTAGGTTGGCAGGCCCTGGGACCGAGCAGCGGGAGCGCATCCCGCCGCAGGGATTCAAACCGCCGACATGCGATTGGCAAGTCCTAGGCGCTGAGGTTTTACCCACAGCGCCACCCGCGTCCCATATGTGGCCTAGGAGCTACCAAAATGGCAACTGCTTCTAGCAAATAAACCCAAAAAATTCACTAATAAAATAAACACAGAAAAGCCACACTATTTTTAGTAGCCTGCTAAGGAGCTAGATGTCTGTATTTCCATACAGTACTAACTGCAGAGGAGACCATGCCCCCTTTGCTAGTGGTGACTAGTGCATTTTGGGATTGGTAGGGCGGGAGTCATGGAGGAAAACAGTAGGTGGCGCCAGAGCCAATGACAGGTGTAGGCAAATCATTTCACTTTTTGTCTCCTTCCTTCTGCTGAGTTCTAAGGAGACTAAAGAGGAGGAAGCTGACAGTCAAGGCCAGGGATGATGGGAGTCGTAGTTCAGCAATGACTCGAGGGCCAAAGGTTCCCCATACCTGAATTATGCAAACACAAGAGCCTTTGGCCACGTGCAGGGGTGCATTTGCCTCCGTACATGCCAGACTGCCCAACATTTTTGAGATTTCCCAGGGAGTGCTTGCAGGTCAGAGGGAATGGCCAGGTAGCTCACCTTTTTGCCCTCTAGTTCAGGTGCACCAGCCGCTGGTCAATGTCCGGGTACATCACCCCCCGGACGCCTCAGTGCAAGTCCACCGGATCGACAGCCTCAGCTCGGAGGGAAGTGGACCAGGCAGCCAGCAACACCTGATCCAGCACCCTGCTCCCAAGCCCGCTTATACCAGGCCCCCCACCCAGAAGCCCCTAGGACGGTGCTTTCAGGAAACGATGCCTAAACAGTCGGTGAGTGGAGTGGTCTTTTGGCAATTCTGATGCATAGGAATGGCACCCAAGCAGAGAAACACAGTTAATTTTGCAAGAATATGATGGGAGAGGGGATTTTTCTTCCTCACAAGCGCTGAAATCTGGATACCATTCCCTAAAACTAATCAGCAGGATGTTTCAGCAGACAAAAGGAGGTGATTTTAAATCCACACATAATTCTCTAATGGGATTTGCTTTGCCACAGAATGTGACGGTTGCCCATCAACCTAGACCAGAGGGTCTCAAACTTGATTCCTTGGATGGGCCAATTTGGAGGGGGGGGGAAGGATGGACCCGGAAGGTCTTGGCCAGATTTTTTGTTTGTTTGTTTATTCTACAAATCAAAGCACATACATATTTTAATAATTGCTGTCTTCCTGTTCTAATGTGCTGGATGAGGAAAAATAGAAGTATTTTTCTCCAGCTCCAGCATCATCATTAGAACCAGCCCCAAATTTTGAAAACCATTGGGTCTTAAGCCAGGACCACCTTAGCTGGTTTGATAATCCAGCCCTGATGAAAAGAAATCCTATATTTCTACCGTCTGAAAAAATAATAATTCGAATCTAGAGCCAAGTAGAGATAGTATCAATGGTCCCGAAACTTTCCAGCGGATCACAGGCTGTTGCTTGCAAACCAGCCAGTTGTTCACAATCCATAGAACCTTTGGCCTCAGATGGCTTTAGCAAAGAATTAGATGCAGAAGAGATGTTTGCAATAGCTGGATGGAGCTTCCACATGCAAAAGCTCCATACCTGAGCATCAGACGTTAAGGACAAATAAGAGAGGATGGGTACCCCCAACTAGCTGGCTGGCTGGAGACTAGAGTTCAAGGCAGGCTGTAGTTTAGTTCATCATAGCATGGCATTTTATTTTATTTTTCCATGTTGCAGAAGCAATAGTTGCAGAAACTGGGTTTGGGGGCACATTTGGACGAACATTAAAAAAATTTATATATGTCAATTTTAAATGCATTTTTTGTTTGTGTTTTATTTCCTGCAAATAGCTTTGGGACGCCTCTGGATGTGTGAAGCAACATACAAAACAATGAATTAAACTAATATCTCAAACACACGGCTGCAGCTGCTCAGCTTGCGAAAACCAGCCGCAGGCATTCCAATGGTCCATGAGATCTAGGCACTTAAAAATGCAGAAATAAAACCAGCCCGTCCTTTAGGTGTAGCGGGTGTTCCACGCATAGTGTGGAGGCTGGTGGGAGAAAGGTTTAAGGGCTTCTCCGCACTGTGGTTTAATGCCTATAGCAAGCTTCCTGTATCTCCACTAAATTCTGCATTGCCCATGTGACAGTCTACTCCTCCAATTCACTGCTTCCAAACACTTTTCTTTCCCTCAGTCCCGATTTTCTCATACCAGGGATACTCCCAAAAAAGGAGGTAAAGGTAAAGGGACCCCTGACCATTAGGTCCAGTCGTGACTGACTCTGGGGTTGCGGCGCTCATCTCGCTTTATTGGCTGAGGGAGCTGGCGTACAGCTTCTGGGTCATGTGGCCAGCATGATTAAGCTGCTTCTGGCGAACCAAAGCAGTGCACGGAAACGCCATTTACCTTCCCGTTGGAGCGGTACCTATTTATCTACTTGTACTTTGACATGCTTTCGAACTGCTAGGTTGGCATGAGCAGGGACCGAGCAACGGGAGCTCACCCTGTTGTGGGGATTCGAACTGCCGACCTTCTGATCGGCAAGTCCTAGGCTCTGTGGTTTAACCCACAGCACCACCCGCATCCCTCAAAAAAGGAGAGGGTATGATAAAATCCGGACTGAGAGAAGGGAAAGTGTGGAGAGGTAGTGATTTGGAAGACAGCACCATGCAAACAATGGAGAACTAAGGGAGGTACAAGAAGCTTACTGTCCACATCAAACCACAGTATGGATGGCCCCCGAGTGATGTGGGTGTGCATGAGATTTCTAGGTGGAGTTCATGAAATCTTCTATTTCAACCTTTGCCTGTCCTGCTCAGTGTGGAAGCAACCCTCTCCCGGGCCTCACCAAGCAAGAAGATTGCTGCGGCAGCATCGGCACCTCCTGGGGGCAGAATAAATGCCACAAGTGCCCCCACTTGCAATGTAAGTCTCTCTTGCCCCCCACTTCCAAGTTCTGCACCTCTTCCCTCTAACCTAGAAACTTTGCAGGGAGCGGGAGGATGATTAAAAGTGTTGGATAGCGACCTGGGAGCAGGGGTGGAGGAAGGGGTGGTGGTGGGGGCGGGTTGCCCGAAGTGTCACCACTGGGGGTGTGTGTGACAAAATGGCAGGCGGCACTCACCGCAGGGCCTGCAGTGTGCCTGAGCCACGTGTCTCTCCTGGGAGTGACGTGGTGGTTTGGGCGCCCACAGGCTCTTCGCTGCCCCAAATGGTCCGCCCACCGCCTCCCCCTCAGCCGTAGGGTGGCTGAGTGGAAGGAGGCAGGCAGACTCCTCAGAGCCCCCACAGAGCATCCTGCCCCGGCTCACCCCACCCCCATAGGCGGCTGCCCCCGCCCCTGGGCGCAGGGCACGCACGCTGCCCCAGGCGCCCAATCAGCTTGTTCCGCTGCTGCCTGGGAGACAAGGGTTCCCATATCCACAAAGCTGCGAAGCTTGCTGGGTGATCTGGGCCTAGTTACTGTCTCTCAGCCTTACCTACCTCATAGGACCCTTGTGAGGATAAAATGGGGTTGGGGACAGCTGTGTGCACCTCCTTGAGCACCTGTCGTTTTAGGTTGCATCCTGTTTGCAGCTTCTCCTTCCTCTCAACACTCTCGCGCCTCAAAATGAGAATCACACCGAAATGTTGGAAGGGACCATGAGGGTCATTTAGTCCAACCCCTGCAATGCAGGTATCTTTCACCTAATTTAGAGCTCAGATCCAGGACCCTGAGATTAATCACCTTGAATTCATCCTCTGGAAAGCAAAGGAGCAACCATGGCTGCCTTTGCCTTCTCTAGATTAGTTAGAACTAGAAAACTTTCTATCCAAATGATGTATTCCCTATTGTAAACAACACTGTTGTTTTCTTACCCTACAAGCATCTCTCTGCATTTAATTGCAACAGGTAAGTCTAGCCAAATTCACAAGCCATTCTCTGCATGCTCTGCATACCAGCACTCTCGATATTAGGAGCGGAATATGCGCTTTGAATGCAGAAGGTCCCACATTCGAATCCCAGCTAAAAAATAGATCAGGTAGCAGGAAAACTCTTCTGTGACTGAGACCCTGGAGAACTGCTGCCTGTCCAAGGAGACAGTGCTGGATGGGAGTTGGCTGTCTGAGACGGTGTTCCAGAGAAGGGGCTGTAGCTCAGTTGCCGAAAATCTCCTTTGCATGCCTAAGCTTTCCGCCACAATCTCTGACGCTGCTTTTTTCTGAGGTGTTGCCAGACAGAGCAGAGCCTAGTGGGCACGATGGACAAACAAGCTGTAAAAGGCAGCTTCCTGCATCCCCTATAAAACAGGAGAAGAGTTTCCCATTCCTGGATCTGCTAGCCCGGAAGAAGCTGCACCTGCTGCATTTCTGCCTGTCTTGCAGTTTAAATACATAAACACACTGTGAGGGAAGCTGAGGTTTTTGTTTAAAGAGAGCTTTCGGATGCATTTTCACAACTGGCAAGGGATGGCTGGGGAGGGACGATGAGAGAGGCTTTGCCCCGTATGTCTAGCGTCTTGCTTGCAAGGACAGGGGGTGGCTGGCACTGGTTTGGGGGAGCCAAGCTCTCCCCCTCCTAGACCCTGCCTGAATGGATTTTCTAGCTTCATGAAATCAGCCGTGCAAGGGGCCGGATCTGTTTGTGTTGGACGAGGCCTGGAATGTGCTCAGGCTGTGGGCCCTCCCTCTTCCCTTCCAGCCCCAAGGCAGTATGCAGGCCCCTCCGCTTCACTTTCCCGCAGCTGGCTGGCTGGCTTGGCAACTGCCCCCTTGGCAACCACAACTCGGCGCCCCTCCCTGCAAGGCTAATGTTTAAAAGATGATGTCCAAAATGGCAAGGAAGGGGACGTTTTGCAGGGCTTCTCGGATTATGCGCCATGCCGTCGTTGGCACTTCTGCAAACGGGGAAGGGTTGTAGCTCGGTGGCAGAATACCTGCTTTGCTTGCAGAAGGTCTCGGGTTCAGTCCCTCAGGGCACCTCCCAGTATGACTAGCAGAGACTTCTGTCTGAAACCCTGGGCAGCCACTGTCAATCAGTGTGGGCGGTTCAGAGTGAGAGGGACCAGAGTTCTCTGAGTCAATAGAAGGCAGCTTTCTAGGAGTTCTTATTGCCATTTCAAGCATTCAGGCCAGGCAGACCAGGGCTTTTTGCATTGCTCACGTTTTGACCCCTGCAGGATTTTGATGCTTTCTTTTGGGAGCCTGCACTGAAGTGGGGTTACTTTAAAGATGAACTGTAGTTGCAATAGCCTTATGGAATTCTGCACAGACTGGCTGCAGTCATATACATTTTCACCTGGCAGCAAGCCCCATTGAATTCTGAGTAATGTATAGGACTTCACTGTTTGCTGCTCTCCCCATGAGATTAAATGTGCTTAGAACTGGCCTTCTGAAAGGCCTAGATATGTTTGTTTGTTTGTTTGTTTGTTGGTTGGTTGGTTGGTTCCTATTAAATAGAAAAGAGCTGTTCAACAGTGGAACAGACTCCCTCAGGAGATCATGGACTCTCCTTCATTGGAGGTTTCTAAGCAGAGGTCGGGTGGCCATCTGTCAGGGATTCCTGGATTGCAGAGGGTTGGACTAGATGACCCCTGGGGTACCCGCCAGCTCTGTTTTTCCATTATTCTCTGACCCCAACTGCCTGGTTGTTTGCCTGCTCCCTGGTGTTCGGCATAAAATATCTATAAATACCGTATTTTTTGCTCTATAAGACTCACTTTTTCCCTTCTAAAAAGCAAGGGGAAATGTGTGTGCGTCTTATGGAGCGAATGCAGGCTGCGCAGCTATCACAGAAGCCAGAACAGCAAGAGGGATTGCTGCTTTCACTGCGTAGCGATTCCTCTTGCTGTTCTGGCTTCTGAGATTCAGAATATATTTTTTTTCTTGTTTTCCTTCTCCAAAAACTAGGTGCGTCTTGTGGTCTGATGCGTCTTATAGAGCGAAAAATACAGTAAATATTTCAGAATATCAGAATCAGTCCTGTTGCTTTGAGATCATAGGCTGCCTTTGGCAATCCCCATCACTCGAGGATGGGAGTTGCTGTACATATGTGTGATATTCATTAAATGCATGCATTTTTCCTCTTTCAGACTTGGGGGTGCAGAAAACGCTGGGGAGTGACTGCCCACAGGGATACAAGCGACTGAACAGCAGCCATTGCCAAGGTATAAAAGTGGGGTGGAGACTGAGAGACAGAATGTACCACTTGGGAGGGGGGATCCTCTTTGCTTTTGAGAATTGTGAGCTAGTATTAGGCCACATTCTCACCACACATTGAAAACACCATGGTACCACTTAAAGGCTCCCCCCCCAAGAGTCATGGGAACTGTAGTTTGTTATGGGTGTTAAGAGTTGTTAGGAGGTCCCTATTTCCCTCCCACAGAACTACAGTTCCCAACGTGGTTTAACAATCAATCCCTCTTCACAGGGAACTCTGGGAATAGGGACCTCCTAACCACTCTCCACACCCTTAACAAACTACAGCTCCCAGAATTCTTTGAGGGAAGCCATGGCTGTTTAAAGTGGTATCGTAGTGCTTTAAATATATGGTGTGAATGTGGACCAAGGTTGACTGATACAGCTGAAAGCTTGGGCCATGGTTCTGTCGTCCAGGGGGAGGAAAAAACTTAAACACAATGCAGAGTTTCCAAAAAATAGATCAAAGGCAATTGTACTTCATCCAGCAGAGCTTTACTACTACTGAAGGCAAATGAGCACAATGGTCACAAATCCAATACATTCAGGATTGGCACAGTCCAGAAGAAATTCAGTTGCAGCAGACTTAACTTAAAACTTACAATAGTTATAACAAGTCTAAAACTTAGCATACTATGTACAGAACACCATAGCAGGAAGAAGAGAGATAGGAAGAGAAAGTGAAACTCAGGCTCTTTCTTGCCTTACTTATATAGTCAGCATGACAGAAGAGATAAGAGAACCAGTTTAAGACAGCTGTACTTAGCTTCTCTGAAGGAATAACCCAAACATCATGAAGCTTCTTTCACACAGAGAAGCTTCCAGAAACTTCCAGAGCCCTATTGAATGAATTAAGAGTAGGAAAGATCTCTGCACATCAGACCAATATTTTCTGCACTAAGAAATGCAAACTGACAAGTTCGACTCTAAACAGTGACAATTTTGTGGATGACTGAGTACACCAGCCTTGACTCAATCATCTGTAAATGGAGCATAACAGCCCCAAGATTCTGGGATAAATCTACAAGGTGCCTTCTCTTTCACCAATGGAACACAGTCCATTGGGAGGTTCTCCTGCACAAGCCCATTGAAATGAATGCACCAAGATGCAAGGGCACCAAGATTCACCCAGAGAGTGTATGTTCACTTGTTCCCAAGAATGGGAACAAAGAATTCCCAAGAATGGAGACAAAAGGCAGCTTTGGAGATTACTCTGTTTTTCCCCCACCTGCCCCCACCACTGGAACTGCCCTGTGTCTCTTCCTCCCACAGACATCAACGAGTGTGCCATGCAAGGAGTCTGCCAGGGGGGCGAATGCTTGAACACCCACGGGAGCTTCCGCTGCGCATGCAAGCCAGGACATGTCCTGGGGCCTTCGCGGACCCATTGTGTGCGTACGTATCTTGGCTGGGGAGGTGGGAAGATCTCTCATATCTAACCAACCCATCCTTTCTCTGCTCCCTCCCTCCCCAAAGAATATAATCCCTATCACATGGGTCTTAAGTCCTTTCTGCGCCTTGTCTGGCCCACAGCTGACGATAAGCAAATGTCAATACTGACAGCCACCATATTAAAGTACTGGTAGCTGGGACCATGGAAGTGCAAGATTCAGGGGCTGGTGCAGATAAAGGAGTTAGTCTGAGTCAGGGCTTGTGGGTCTTTCAGCACCATGGCTCAACTCTGCACTCTGCACATGATCAGAGTCTTTTCTGCCAGTGCTGTTGCTATTTTCTTTATTGTCATCAATTGCTTGCCCTGGTAAGAGTCTTCCTGATCAGGGTTCCAGCCAGACATATCCTACAGCTCAAGGGGGACACATAACTGCCTACCCTCCAGTTTTACTTTCCTCACACAAGATTTTCTGGCTCCTGGAGGCCAGTGAGCATGCTCAGTCCTCTTTGGGCTTCTGCTTGGGCTTTCTGCCCCCTCTTAAGTCTTTCCACCCACTTTTATATTTTGGACATCTGCAAACCTCCAGCTTCCTTTGAACACGCTGATACCTCCCTGTAGTTTCTCAATGAACTGGCCTCGTTTTTTTATTGGCACTCGTCACCTGAGTTTGCTGTCAGAAGGAAGTGATGGAATGCTTCACCAATTCCTTGTGATGATGGCTGTGCTGCGGACACCAAACTGTCTTTTTGCCCATTATAGAGGAGACTCCTCAGCTGCTGTGGTTGACACCATACTGATAAAGCACATTGCTTCCAGCTAAGAATCCTGGGAACTGTAGTTTAGCTCTGTGAGGGGGGGGGGAATGACAGTTCCTAGGATTCTTTGGGGCAGCCATGTCCTTTAAATGTATCATGTGGGTGCTGCTTTCTTTCTGCTGACTCTATACCTTGTAGTGGGATTTAGTGGCCAGGCTTTCTGTGGAGAATTTGAGGTTTATTATTTTTGAGGTATATTATTTTATGCATCATATTTTTAATCCTGCGCTTTGGCCCAGGGAGTTTGGGGCAGCATACTAGGCTTTCCCCCTCCCAGTCCTGTTTTATCCACAAAAGGACCCTGTGAGGTAAGCTAGGCCGAAAGAAAGAGACAGGCCAAGAATCCCACTTTCCATTGCAGCAACACAACAACCCTGTGGTGTAGGTTAGGCTGGGAGGAAGAGGTGGCCAAGATTTCCCCTGTTACCTTTTAATCCCATTAACGCTCCTGTGAGGTAAGTTAGATGGAGAGAAAGAGGCTGACCAAGAATATCCCCCTCTTCCATTTTTAGTCACACAACAACCCTGTGAGGTAGGCTAGGCTGAAAGAGAGGAACTAGCATGCAGTCGTTGAGTGAGTTTACCAGGCCAGTGGGTTTTTGAAACTGGGTCTCTTAATCATTGTCCTTGTTTTCTCTTGTGACCCCCTAACCTCTCTCTCTCTCTCTCTCTCTCTCTCTCCCCTCTCCCCTTCTCTTTGTGGGGACGACGATAGCGGAGAAGGCTGGGGAGAAGAGTTTGTGCTTCCGACTGGTGAGCCCTGAGCACCTATGCCAGCACCCACTGCCCACCAAGCTCACCCGCCAGACTTGCTGCTGTAGCGTGGGCAAGGCCTGGGGGGCGCGTTGTGAGCGCTGCCCAGCCGACGGAACCGGTAAATAGAAGAGGTTTTTCCCCTCTCTCCCATTTCCTCCTGCGTTCTGCCACACCTGGACCCGATGTTCCCCACCCCTGTTTTGTACAAAATCATCTTTGTTTTCCCTGGGCATTTGGAAAACACCAAAGACATGCTATTGTACTGTTCAGTCTGTTTTTTTAAAATGTTTTATTTACTTATCTTTTAATATGTTTTTATTGAGGGATTCTCCATAAGTACATTCAGTGCAAACAGAAATGTCTTCAAATTTATTCTGATAGTTAACAATGATGGGGACAGGTGTACATCACTAGGAAGGGTATTCCACAACTAGGGAGCCACCACTGAAAAGGCCCTGTCAAAGGCCAGTGCCAACTGGGCAGCCCTCAGCAGTGGTGCCACCGACAAGGCCTCACCTGCCAATTGTAGGGTCATGCCACTGTTTGTGTGACCAATTTTCTGTCTCTCTTTTTCCACCCGGACAGCTTCTTTCAGAGAGATCTGCCCTGCAGGAAAAGGCTACCATATCCTCACCTCACACCAGACTCTGACGATCCAAGGCGAGAGTGATTTCACACTCCAGATCCACCCAGACGGCAACACAGACCTGCAGCAACAACAACCCGTGGAGCCGCCCACCCGCCCACCTGTGGGCAGCGACTCGCAGGAGCCAGAAGGTCAGTTCCCAAATGGGTGGGCAGGCAAGCCAAAAGCTTCCTGAAGTTGTGGGGCAAGTGGATTTCTTCCACTTGCATCTTTGAGTTCTTTCCCCCTCATAGTATGGAATGAAACATCTGCTTCTCAAATTTTGGAAGGTTGGTGGGCTATAAGGTTGAATGAAGTACCGTGTGCGTGTTTATTACAGAGGCTGTGATCCCCAGTTTTTCTCCCCCATTGCCTAGAGCAGCCTTCCCTAAGCTGGTGCCCCCCAGATGTTGGTGGGCTATAATTCCCATCAGCCCAAACCATTGGCCTTGCTGCCTTGGGCTTATGGAGTCTAGTAACATCTGGAGGGACCACCCACCCTGTTTTAACAAAAGCCAGTTAAAACAAAGCAGGATCGAACCCCGACTTCAGGTCCTGACTTGTTAAATGACGTTGGTTAGGGCAAACCACAGTTCCCTGGGTTTCTATATAATGTAATGCTCTGACTTCTTCCATAGTAAAAGTGGGAGCTGTCACGCTTCTCATCTCACACCTGAATGAGGAAGAAGGAAATAGGAGAAGGGGTGTCACCACCCGACCCTCAATGATTGGCCATGCTAGCTGGGGCCGATGGGAAGTTGGAGTCTAATAACATCTGGAGGGCACCAGGTTGGGGATACCTGGTCTAGAATGTGTGTGTTTGTGTGTGTGATATTTCCTGGGAGCGGGGGTGGTGATGGAGGAGGTCTGCATTAAACTCTACCTATTTCTGCCTCCATGTCAATGCAGCTGCAGTGGGGTCTGTCTGTCTGCCTGAACTTTCTTTAAAACCTCTAACCTATTTCTTCCTTTATTTGTATCTTGCAGTCATAACTCCAGCCATGGTAAGTGTCAGCTGCATTGCTGCACCGTGAAGAGTTGGTGGCGATCTCTAGTAAGATGAGGTGGAAAAGAAGCTAACTGGCTGCGATTTTTTAAAAATTATATGATTTATTATTACAAAGATAAGGCCACTTTCCCTCCGAAGAGTTCAAGGTGGTTGCCCCTGGTCTCCCACAAGCCCTAGTCTGTCACTCTTAACTGCTGCACCATGCTGGTTCTCTAAAGGCAGTCTAATGCCAAACTTGTCACTTATTCAGATGTGACCCTCAGTCAGTAGAGCATCACAGGGTTGTGGGTTCAAGCCCCACGCTGGGCAAAAAGATCCCTGCATTGCTTGGGAGAATTGACTAGGTGACTCTTGTGATGACTCTACAATTCTATGATTCTATGACCCTTCTGGTAATGGAATCCTAGTACTTTCAGCAACTTATAAAGTATTGGGGGGGGGGTTTGAATCTGGGACAAAACCATCCTGGTGACAATGGCCTTTTCTGGTGTCACGTTTCAAATGACATTCAAAATAAGTGGTTAGCAGGCTGAACCTGCCATCTGGGCATAGTAGTTAGTACACAACAGACTTTTTTCTGTGCAAACATTAAAGCAATGGGAAGCTGGGCAAGAATGGAATTGCTGATTTCAGTGGGGCTTACTCAGGGGAATTGCCCGCTGGATTGGGCCCCATTTTTATACTTAATAGGAAGCGGAGGCACCTTAGGCTTTCAAGCCACATTATTTGTGCCAGTCATGGTGGGTTCCAGATGAACCGTTTATCGAGCATTCCTTCCAATTTGCTAGCACAGAGCGTACGTGGAAGTTACCCGGTGCCTGCTCTTTACTGAACATTTGTGCCGATTTGTTGATGGGATGTACAACAACTGAGCATTCAGCCTTATTTGTTTATATGGAGGTGAAGCACCAGAGGTGTGGGGATCCTCCAGCCTGCAGGCCAAATTTGGCCCACACAGCCACTTTTTCTAAACCGCTCCCACCTGCCCATCAGCGAGCATTGCTCTTGACAACAGCTGATGGGCAGGAGGGCGAGGTACAATTCTGCCTTGGCTGTGCAGGTGTTCCCAGTAGGGATCAGACGCTTGCAGCCAAAGCAGCAGCAGGATTTAACTCCCTACACATCAGCTGATGGAGAGAGAGAGAATGAAATCTTACTCAGTTTGGCTGCACACTCCTCTTCCCACCTGTGATAGGACATCCCACCCATCAATTGTGTGACATCATAATGATGCCATGTGATTGGCAGGTGGCTTGTCCTGTCCACCTGCCAATATTTGCCTTGTGGGGCGGGGAGGTAGAAAGATCTGGGCCCCCCCAGCCAAAATTGTTTCCTACCCCTGTTATACACCTTGTAAGTCTACCATTTATCCCACATTTCCCTGTGCGTTTCTTCTTTCATTCCCCTAACTGCAGAAACTCCTTTTTAAAAAACAAAAAAACAAAGTGGGTTTGTTGCACCAGAGCACTTCAGTTGCACAAACCTAAAGTTCCAGTCCTGTGACGGAATCCCTCCTGCAAAGTAGGGAAAGAGCGGGGTGGGGAGGGAGTGTAGCTCAGTGGCTAGAGCACCTGCTGGGTATGCAGAAGGTCCCAGGTTCAATCCCCGAAGATACCTGCAACAAAAAAGGATCAGGTTGAGGGGGTGGGAACAGAGGCGGGTTTAGGGCGGCTGCACTGGGCGAGCAGCCAAGGAGGGCACCTCCCAAAACCCGGTAAGCACTTGCCTGGCTTCAGGAAGGAGGCGTGAGGGCTTTGACAGGGTTCCTAGACTCCTCCTGTTTCCTTTCCAAAGCTGGGCAAGCATTTACCAGGCTTTGGGAAAGAGGCAGGAGGGTTCTAGGACCCTGCCAGAGCCTCATGCCTCCTTCCCAAAGCCCAGCTTAAGCGAGGGCTGGGGGGAGGGCATCAAATGTTGGCCTCGCACAGAGCAATATATTGCCAAGGTCTGCCCTTGGCAAGCTGCTGCCAGTCAGTGCAGACAATACTGGGTTAGATGGGTAAGCAGGCCAGCCTCATCCACAGCCGCTTCCTATGTGACTACAAATCTGCCTTGCCCTGTAATGTTGTCCCTTTCTTTCATCACCCGACCCTCCACCCCCCAAAAAACCATTTCCAGTTGCCCAGCTATGTGACAACCTCAGAGCAGCAGCCCGTCTTCTTTGCCAACACCCCCACCTTCGGACCCCGTTACCCTGGTGAGTGTGAGCAAGAATTTCATTGGCCTGGGGCCCTGGTGTGTGAGAAGTCTCTCTGCAAAACTCTCCCCCCACCCCCCACCCTGTTCTCAGAGGCACTGCTGCCTAGGAGCCCGGCAGTGCCATGTTCGTAGCCTGCAACCGTTTCTCTCTTTCGGCTCACAGCTGTGATCGCCAAGCCTACGACCGCCGTTGTGGTGAAATATCCCGAAGAGGACAAGAACGTGAGCGAATTTGACATGCCCCCCACGCAGGTGACAGGTGAGCTCGGCAGACGAAGATAAGAAGAACAGGCTGGATGTGAGCCCAGCATCCTGTTCTTTCAGGGACCAACCAGGTTCTCAGGGGAAACCCGTAAGCAGGGCTGGAGTGCCCACTGTCCCCGCCCATGTTTTCCAGCAACCAGTGGGTGGACGCAGGTGGCGCTGTGGTCTGAACCACTGAGCCTCTTGAGCTTGCCGATTGGAAGGTCGGCAGTTCGATTCCACGAACCGGGTGAGCTCCCATTGTTCTGTCCCAGCTCCTGCCAATCTAGCAGTTCGAAAGCATAGCAGTGCAAGTAGATAAATAGGTGACTGGAAGGTAAACAGCGTTTCCATGAACTCTGGCTTCCGTCACGGTGTTCCATTGTGCCAGAAGTGATTTAGTCCTGCTGGCCACATGACCCAGAAAGCTGTCTGTGGACAAACGCCGGCTCCCTCAGCCTGAAAGCAAGATGAGCACCACAACCCCATAGTTGCCTTTGACTGGACTTAACCATCCAGGGGTCCTTTACCTTTTAATAATAATAATAATAATAATAATAATAATAATAATAATAATAATAATAATAATTTATACCCTGCACATCTGGCTGGGTTTCCCCAGCTACTCTGGGCAGCTTCCAACAAAGTATTACAATACAGTGGTCTGTTAAACATTAAAAGCTTCCCTAAACAGGGCTGTCTTCAGATGCCTTCTTAAAGTATGGTAGTTGTTCTTCTCTTTGACATCTGGTGGGAGGGCATTCCACAGGGTGGGTGCCACTACCGAGAAGGCCCTCCCACCAGATTCAGTGGAGTGACAGTTCAGTAGGGGGGTGTTTCCCATTAAAGCATCTGGTTGGCCACTGCGTAAAACAGGATGCTGACCTTTGGTCTGGTCCCGCTGCTACCCTCCTCTTAAGGTAAGGTAAGGTACCCCTGCCCGTACGGGCCAGTCTTGACAGACTCTGGGGTTGTGCGCCCATCTCACTCAAGAGGCCGGGGGCCAGCGCTGTCCGGAGACACTTTCCAGGTCACGTGGCCAGCGTGACAAAGCTGCATCTGGCAAGCCAGCACAGCACACGGAAACGCTGTTTACCTTCCCGCCAGTAAGCGGTCCCCATTTATCTACTTGCACCCAGGGTGCTTTCGAACTGCTAGGTTGGCAGGCGCTGGGACCGAGCAGCGGGAGCACACCCCGCCGCGAGGATTCGAACCGCCGATCGCTGAGGCTTTTACCCACAGCGCCACCCGCGTCCCTCCTCTTAGGTCTCTTTTAATGTAAGCCACTTGTAGGGAGTTAATGTGGAGGGTATAAGTAACAGGAACATGGTGATGGTGACATGATAAGGGCCTCCCATGTTTTAAAGCATATTTGTTTTCCCGTATCTCTCTCTCCCCGCACCCTGTAGAGACGGACATTTGTAAACTGAGACGCAACATTTGCGGCCACGGCGAGTGCATCCCTGCAAGCCCCGGCTACACCTGCCATTGTTACCAAGGATACCGCAGGCATCCCCAGCACAGGTATTGTGTAGGTAAGGGGCATTTTTCCTCAAATGCATGCACATCCCTTTTCCCACTCCCCGACAAGTTTGCTGCTTGGGAAAACCCTGCACCACTCAATTGCCTTTCCTCCGCCTTCCTTTCTCTCTCTCCCCACCCTCTTCTCCCCAGATGTGAATGAGTGCGAGCTGGATCCTTGCGGTGGTAGCGGGAAGGGCGTTTGCATGAACACCGGCGGCTCCTACAACTGCCACTGCAACCGTGGCTACCAGCTGAAGGTCCACAAGGGAGTGCGGTCCTGCGTGGGTGAGACACCTGTGGGTCCTGGGGATGGTGAGAGGTTCCAGGGCCCGCCCTCCACCCCACTCATGGCCTCCCCCCCCACTTCCCCCTTTCCAGATATTGATGAATGTGCCAAGCCCAAAGTCTGTGGGGACGGGGGATCCTGCATCAATTTCCCAGGACACTACAAGTGCGAGTGCCATGCAGGCTACCGACTCAAGCCCTCCCGCCAGCTCCTCTGCGAAGGTACAAGGGGGGGGTTATGAATGGGGGGGGCAAGCAACGCAGAAGTAAGGTTGTGTTTTGATTCAGTGTTTAGTCCTGTGAAGTAAAAAAAGGGGGGGTGATAGCGTAACTGTCATCTACTGGTTGCATGCAGAGGAATTGTGGGAGGCACCAACAGTCCATCCCCCCGCGAACCCCCTGGGAAAAATGGCTCAGAGACAGGGGACTGGTGGTGGGACACTGAGGAGAGGTCAGAGGGAGCAGACTGAGAGGAGGAGGAGGTGTCAGAAGCTGAAGAGGCAACAGGGTTTAGTGAACAGGAAAATGCTGTGGCAGAGAGCAGATGAGGCAGGCTGTGGAAGAGTCCAGGGAGTCGTCCCCCGCTGCTGCGACCAGCTCCCTCCCCTCTGGCCTCTGAGCACGCACAGAGAAATGAGAAGAGCAGGACAGAGATTAGCAGCTTGAGACTGGGGGGGGGGGCCTGGAGAGGAGGAGCCTTAGAGAGGGGTGGGAAGCCCAAGGAGGCTGACTTCCGCGGAATTATTTTAGAGTCTTTCTGTAGGTTTCCATTTGGTGGGACTGGTGTAGACAGTATCTTGGTTGCATGGCAATTTAGAGCCAAAGCATAGGCCTGGGTTCACTTTGTTGAACCAGGCAGAGGGCCTTCTTGGTAGTGGCGCCCGCCCTGTGGAACGCCCTCCCTTCAGATGTCAAGGAAATAAACAGCTATCTGACTTTTAGAAGACATGTGAAGGCAGCCTTGTTTAGGGAAGTTTTTAATGTTTGATGTGGTTGCTTTTTTATTGTTATTGGTGTTCTGTTGGGAGCTGCCCAGAGTGGCTGGGGAAACCCAGCCAGATGTGTGGGGTATAAATAATAAATGATTATAATATTATTGTTGTTGTTGTTGCGTTGTTCTGCCCTCTTAATTGCTTCTCACCGCTTCCAGTTTCCCTCTGGTGTCCCTTCTTTCCTTGCAATCTTGTTTTTAATTACAACCATCGTTCCCGCCTCATTATGGTGGACTAACATGGAAAATTGCATTACCCGAAAAACTTACCTGGTACCCTTGTTTTCTGAAAGGAAAAACAAAGGCTACCTCTTTTGTCTCATTTTGGAGGAATTTTACGGAATAAAACAAAAACAAAAACTTTATATTTGCCTCTTCCACAAGCCTCTCAATAAATTTGGGATAAGTAACATCTAATTGGTTGAAATTTTTCCTTGACTTCATATACAGCTTTTTATTATTGGGACTCAGCTACATTAGTAAAAAAAGAAAGTAATAAATGTGTTGTAGCACTGTGACACCATATGGTGCTGTAGAGCTGAAATCAGCACTGAATGAATGAAATTTTTCCATGTTGAGCTATAAAATGGTTTTAAAAAATCATTTTCAGAGCTGTGTTTTTTCATAGCTGTGTAGATGCAGCCTTGGTACTCCTTGTTTCTCAGATGGTTTCAGCTAGGGGTTTATTCTGCACCTCTTGTAAGTCATCTGCACCACACTTCTCGCTCTTTCCTTTCTTATGGTGATGGTACTCTCGACTTATCTGTCTGTACAGCATCTTGTGGCAAGCACCTAAAATAATCAGCTTTATTGTTTCTGTTTGTTAACGTGACTTCTCGTGCCAACCTGGGTTTGGTTGTGTTGAGTTTTTATGAGTTTTTCTCATGAACCTCTATTTTGTTATTTGGGCTACATTGATAAAAAATAAAATCCACAGACAAACAAATAAACCCTGTTTCCTTTCCAGATATTGATGAGTGTCTTGACCCTGGAACATGCCCCGATGGGAAGTGTGAAAACCGGCCTGGCAGCTACAAATGCAGCCCCTGCCCGCCAGGCTTCCGGGGTCGAAATGGTGTGTGTGGAGGTAAGAAACAAGGCCTGAGCCCTGCCTTTGCTAGACTTTGCTGGGCTCAGCCTCTTTTTATCATGGGCAGGCCAGCCCTGGTTTGGACACCTCGCTGCTGATTTCCCCCGGCTTTATTTTTGATGCTATTGCCGTGACGAGAATCCGTATATTTTATCATGTAGTTCATAGTATTATAATTGCATTTGTATAATCATTTAGATTTTTACGTTGGATAGATATTAGGGTGGGGCGATATCTGGGCAATATATCACCAGCTAAACATCCCAATATATCACAATGTCTGAAATAAGGATGGAGCTATGTAGAGGCATGGGCTGGCTTCCTCTTTATTTCCCACATTGTGATATTTGCGTAGCGCGCGCGCACACACACACACATCACGATGTGCAATAGATTTCCAGGTCAGAAGTTACAAAACCAATATCGTGATATGGGCTTGAAATTGGTTTTGGACGATCTGTTGCTCAGCCCTAGATACTGTGAAGTGACATTTGTGTTGTAAACTGCCTTTTTGTCAGGCTTCAGGGAATCGGCTTTCTCCCCTCTTTGGCAGTAGATAAGCAGAACAAAGCGAAAGGAGTCTCTTACCAGTTATCCATTCCTAGGAATGAAGGTGCTCCCAATTAAGGGTTCCACCCACTTCCCCACTAGTCACCCACATCACTACCGCATCTTGCAACCTGATCTCGCAACCACTGTGCTTTCTGTGCTGCCACCTTATCTGCTCTCCTTGACCTTGCGCTGAGCGGATGGACACCTTTCAGCAAAAGGGAGTCTGTTAACTCTCTCTCTCCCAGTTCTCCTCCTCCTAGCTCTTCACCACCCAGTACTTCACAACTTCTGTCTTCTGAACTATGTCCCTCTGCAAACCACTGTTCCAAATCTATACTGTCCACTGCTCCTGGATCAGGCTGGGAAGGGGGGGGAGGCTCCCACCATTCCTCCTCAGTGCAGCCCTCCTCAGCACGGTCCCTGACACTTTTGGTCTTCTGAAGAAAGGTGGTGTATAAAAGACATAAGTAATCAACCAAATAGCACCTCCACCTCACAACCCCTCATCAGCCCCTCCTGACAGCACAAGGAGTGAACGCTCCTGTTCACTCTCTAACCATAGGCGCCGACGCCATGGGCTTGAGGCCCGACCCCCGAAAAAATCGTTGGGGCTCTGCCCCCCAATAAATCTCAGCCCCTCCACAGAGGCCATGCGCCTCCCGCCAGCCAAAATGACAGGGAGGCGGGCTGCATGCCTCCTGCCCTCCCCTCCCGAGCAAAGCTCCACCCAAATTTCCGAGCATAATAGGCGCAGCACGCCTCCCCTTTCCTACGCGACGGCGTCCACTTTTGCATATCATGAGCTTATTTTTTTCATGGCTCCCGGCCCCCCAATATTTTTTATAAGTCGCGCCCTCTCTCTCCGCAATGAATGAATCGGAGCCAGCTCTGTAAACAACGGCCCGGCTGTAAGAATGATGGCTCTTCCTTCATCGCCTCTTGTGACGGGACAGGATCTTGTCCCTGCACCCGATTCCCACAGCTGTCTTGGTAATTCCTCACACCTCCCTGGTTGCACGGAGCTTCCTGGTGGGAGGGAACTTGTACAGACTGGTGTCTGTGATGTCACAGCAGCACAGCCAATGACAAGGGGGAGGCCAAGATGGTCACCCAAGCAGATTTAGTGGCACAAATCTTGGGTCCCACCCTAATGATCTGTTCATGGAGCACCATTTCTCCCCACAGTCAGAGGCAGTAATGCTTCTGAATATCAGCTGCTAGAAACCACAGGAGGGGAGAGGGATCACAGGGTGGTTCACAACATAGACCTCCAGTTCAAACCTCGTCGTCAGCCACGAAGCTCAGTTTGTAACCTTGGGCCAGCCACTATTTCTCAGCCTCACAGGGCTGTTGTGAGAATAAGGTGGAGGGAGAAGCAGGGGAACCACGTATGCTTCCCTTGGCTGCAGGGTGGGTGGGATAAAAAATGTCATAAAAGCAATGTTCCTGTCCAGGAAAGGACTTCCTTCCAAGCTTGACTAGGCCAGAGATGGGGAATCATTGGCACTCCCAGGTATTGTTGGACTACAACTTCCTTCATCCCTAAGAACACTGGGCTGATGGAAGTTGTAGTCCCACAACATCTGGAAGGCTGGGAGAAGGCTGAGCGAGACGGAAACACTGCAGAAGTGGGCTGATTTGCTTCTTTCCATGCAGATATCAACGAATGTGAGAATGGGTCTCTCTGTACCTATGGTTCCTGTGTGAACACCCTGGGATCCTTCAAGTGCCAGTGCCCTGTGGGTTTCCAGGCCGTGAAGGATGAGCCACGCTGTGAAGGTGAGAGCGGCCTAGGATTTTGTTTTTGGCTTGGATTATTGGACTAGTTTTGGATTCCACCTGCGACACTGAGGAGGAGCATAAGGAAGTAGCTCCTTTGAGCATGTGCAGAGTGCCTGAGGAGCTGAAGCTGTCCTCCCTGCATCACAGGCTTGAGACCCTCCTCTCCCTCTGTTTTCAAACACAATGAACCATGCTGCTGAAGGTTAGAGATGGGATTCTTTGGCTCCCTTGAGAACTAGGGGAGAGGTTTGCTTGTGTGTGTGTGTGTGTGTGTGTGTTTTTGTACTCCCCACTAATAGCCAGGAGGGCTGAGGCCCGGAATGCATGTTCAGTCCCGCAACTCAGCCCTCAAGCACAAAAAGGAGTACTAGAATATTGCAGATATTAATAGTGTGCAGCTTGAAGTGACTGGATGCATAAAAGCTGACTCCTTTTGGAATGAAACATTGTCGAGACCCATCAGATATTATTTTAAAACTTTACTCGGACAGCTTTCTTCAGAACAGGACAAAAACTTCAAAGATGCATGCAAATAATTCCAGGCAAGATCTTGTGCTGTCCAGCACAGGCTCAGCATCTTAGAAATAAAAGATAATTCCAAACAGGCCTATAAGCAAAAGTCTCTCTCTCTCCTTACAGCCTCCATTTTGTCTGGAGCTGTTTTCTCTTCCTTCAGGAGACTCTTTGACATATATTTACTCCCACAGAGCCTGGGAACAAAGACTCCACCACCCTTCCAAAATGGCAAATTTGCAATTCAACAGCTCACATGTGATATAAAGTTAAACACTCCCAGTGTTAGCTAGCAGAGAATAACAACAGTTAATTATCAACCCATCAAGGTGCTTCGAGAGCTTAGTACACTCTAGTGGAATTTCCCCATGGCAAACCTTTTCAGCAATACACAAAGGCATTCTCCATTTCAGTGTCAATTAAACAATTCTACTTAACACAGAGGCGAGAACAATGCCTTTGAGCAGGTACCATGCTCTTTTTCATTCTGACGAACCACAGCCAGCCTCTTAGGCCTGGGAGAAAGGGTGGGTTTTCCAGGTCTTCCAGGCAAGTACCTTCTCCTTTCCTCCTGTCCCTGCAGACCTGAATGAGTGCGACTTCCCGGCAGCCTGTGTTGGTGGCGAGTGCCTGAACACCTTGGGCTCTTACCAGTGCCTGTGCCGGGCTGGCTACCAGTTGGAAGGTGGTCGGAAGTGCCAAGGTGAGTGAGGCAGTTCACCTTATTGCAGATATTAATACTGCAGAGCTTGAAGCAACTGGGTGCATAAAAAAAACTGACCCCTTTTGGAATGAAACAATGTTTAGACCCATAAGTTTGATTCAGGCTTTACTTGCGGAGCTTTCTTTGAAACAGAACAAAAACATCAAAGATACATCCTGACAATTTCATGCAATAACTTGTGCATGTCCTGCACAGGCTCAGCATCTTATAAGAAATAAACAGACCTATAAGCAAAGCTCTCTTTCTCTCTCTCACTCTTTACAGCCTCCATTTCCCCTGGAGCTCTGTTCACTTTTGTAGAGGCCCATTTACACCTCCTTTGTTCCCTCTGTGGCCTTCAGAGAAAGACTCACTCACACACAAAAATGGAGACCCACAGCCTGACACATGGATAGAGTTTAATCCTATCTCTTTCATGTGATCTAAGCCAGGCATCTCCTGCCAACCTAGCAATTTGAAAGCACGTCAAAGCGCAAGTAGATAAATAGGTACCATTCCGGCGGGAAGGTAAACGGCATTTCCATGCGCTGCTCTGGTTCGCCAGAAGCAGCTTAGTCATGCTGGCCACATGACCCAGAAGCTGTATGCCAGCTCCTTTGGCCATAAAGCGAGATGAGCGCCACAACCCCAGAGTCGGCCACGACTGGACGTAATAATGGTCAGGGGTCCCTTTACCTTTACCTTTAAGCCAGGCATGTGACAGAGAACAACAGTTACCAACTCATCCAGATGCTTAGAGAGCTCTTCTTTCGCTTCAGTGGAATCTTCCAGTTGAACCCTTTCAGCAAACATAGGCATTCTCCAATTCAGTGTGAATTAAATCATTATACTTAACACACCTTGCCAGCAGTGGGCTTGTGCCCTGGAACAGAGCGAGGGGGGGGGGAGAGTTGACTTCTGAGGGTCCAGGTTCTTGTGTCCCTGAGCAACTTGCGCCTGTAGCACCAACATGTGTAGTGTTGCCTCCCCAGATGTTGACGAGTGTGCGAAAGACCTTGACCTCTGCCAGCCGCACGGGGCCTGCGAAAACACCGAGGGGTCCTTTGTGTGCGTTTGTGATGATGGATTTGCTCCTTCTGAAGACCAACAGAGCTGCGAGGGTGAGCGTGGCACGTGAGGAGGGTGGCGAGAGCACCAGGGGTGGGGGGGAGAGCTTTTTCTTTCGCCAAGCGCCTCAGTCACGGTGGGTGAGAAGCCGGCAGGCCTGAAAGAGGCGATGATTCTTTCTTGTGGGGAAGCGAGCGACTTTTCTCTCCCTCTCTTTCCCCTCAGAGCTGCCACACAACAAAAAGGAGTGCTACCTGAACTTTGACGACACCGTTTTCTGCGACAGTGTCCTCGCCACCAACATTACCCGCCAGGAGTGCTGTTGCTCGCTTGGGGCAGGCTGGGGAGACCATTGCGAAATCTACCCTTGCCCTGTGCTCAATTCTAGTAAGTCTGAGGGGACAGCTGCATGGAGGGTGTTTTGTTAAGAGATCTTGATAAGTGATGGTGACAGCTCCTCCTGTCACCTTCGAATACAGGGCAAGAACCATAGCTCAGTGGTAGAGCAGGACTTTGCAGGTCTGCGAAAGACTCCCACTATGAAAGTTTGGAGAGCTGCTGCCAGTCAGTGTAGACCAGGCATGGCCAAACTTGGCCCTCCAGCTGTTTTGGGACTACAACTCCCATCATCCCTAGCTAACAGGACCAGTGGTCAGGGATGATGGGAATTGTAGTCCCAAAACAGCTGGAGGACCAAGTTTGGCCATGCCTGGTGTAGACAATACTGAGCTAAATGGACCAGAATTGGTACGAGGCAAGCTTTATACTTCTCCATTTCCTTGTACTGTTCCTCAGCAGACCAGCTTTTAGGGGAGAAGGGTTCCCTTAGCTCAGCGTTGGGGTATCCACTTCAGCTGCAGAAGACCCCCAACGTCTCCAGGGAAAAGCATCAGGTAGCAGCAGCTCTTGGGAACAACTCTGTTTTCCCCTTTTTCTTTCTTTTTTAAAGTCCATCAGTTACAGCAGCAGGTGAAAATGAAAACAAAACCATGCAATAGGCAGGTAGAATAAGTGCATATGAATTAAGTACCCAAGTCCAAGTCATGAAAGAAAAAAAGTTGTATTTACATAAAGAATATTTGCTATTCGATTGTCAAAAGAAAATGCTCTTTTCTCTGCCCAACACCTTCACCTTCCTGGAGCTACTGCCTGCCGGAGCAGACAGTGCTGTTCTTGAAGGAGAAATGGTGCAAAATAGGCCATCTTAGGATAGCAGAAAAAAATCCCCAAACTGCCAGCAAGGGATAAATCCTCCCAAGGAGGAAATGTTGCAGAGCGGGGGGGGGGGGGGACTTGGAGCCTGTACCTTTAGGCTGATGGTTATTTATTACCAGCTTTATCTCTCTCTCTCTTTTTCTCCTCACTCCACAAAGTTGAGTTCCACACACTCTGCCCAGATGGCAAAGGCTTCATTCTGGATGACACCATCCTCAACTATGGCATCCCAGCACATCGTGGTGAGTCTTTTGAGCCATGACATACAAAGAGATGCTGTGTGTGTGTGTGTGTGTGTGTGTGTGTGTGTGTGTGTGTTGTTATTTCGCTGGGTGGCCACCTTGCCCATACCTGTGAGTCTCAGATGCTGTGTGACTCCGACTCCTAGCAGACCCAGCCAGCAGAGCCTGTGATCAGGGATGATTTGAGTCTCTACTCCAAAGATTTGTTCAACCCAGGGGCATGGCAACTCAGGCCCAGGGCCAAAAGTGACCCTCCTGGCCCCTCTGTCTGGCCTTCCGGATTCTCCCCAGACCACACCCTCTCCCTGGCACCCTCCTCACGTGTTCCAGCCTGGCTGGAATGTTTTCTTGGACTCTGAGGAAGCCTCTTGCTTGTCTGGGTGGAGAGATGTGGGGTCAAGATGCAAGGGAGGCTCTTGAGTGTCAGGAGTGGAGCCCAATGAACAAAGGGGTGAGTGTTCCTCCTGTTGCTCCACTCAGTGGCTCCACTCCATGGCTCCCAGCTGAAGAAAAAAACACATGAATGAAAAATCTCTCTATGAGATTTTTACAGCCTGCATCTTCTGCATTATTTTTGTATGTGTGTAAGGAAACAAAGTTATTTCTTTTTAAGTCGTTTGGAACCTTTTTCTTCTTTATTTTACCGCTAACGGATGGAGATTTGTAACTTCCTAAACTCTGTGAGTAAAATCTTCACTCATTTGCAAAGCTTACATGTCTGAAATATATTCCTAGCCCAAGTATTTTTGCGGGGAATGTTTGTTCAAAGGTGGATGAGGGCAGATGTAAAATCTAAGTTTCAATGGGCTTGGTAGCTATCACCACTGTGCTGTTACGAGAAAGTAAGGATCTCTTCCAAACCTTTCTCTCCAACATAAAGAGATCACAGATCTCTGTCCATGATATTGGGCATGGTTTACCCAATATGGCTTTGTGGGCCAAATTCAGACACCTGGTGGTCTAATGAGGTCCACAGGTAGACATTCACCCCCACCCCCCTTCAATGTATCTGCCCTGTTCACCCAATATTCAGTAAATGGTTTCCACTGTACAGTATTAGGAACATAGTTTCATGTTTGTCTTCCCTCTTTATATCATAGGCAAGCCGCAGTCCCATAGTCACCTCTGAGTAAGTGCCACTAAAACAGTAGGACTTACTTCTGAGCAGACCTATAATTGCAGTCTGCTTTGACATTACTGTGTCCTCATAGATACCTTGCTTTCCTGACCTCAGCAGCTGCATAATTTATATTTGCTGATTGCTCCATAACAGGGTTTCCTGGCTGGTGTCTGAATCACATTATAAAAACAAACATACAAACAACACATTTTTTAACAATCAATCAATCAATCAATCAATCAATCAATCCAAAATAGTGAAACTTTCTCTTCACAACCATCCAGCTCAAACTTTGGGATATTCAGAATTACACCTAATTGTCAGATGCTGCCTAAATGGTTATATACCTTCACATTTACAGAAATGGTGATGATCTGGATGTCTATGACTTTCCTTTGCATTTTATAACGTGCGTGCCGCCCGAGGCAGCTGCTTCACCTTGCCTCACGGGTGGGCCGGCTCTGACGAAATGCAAATTCTCCTAACGATATGGAGAATTTTACGGTTTCATTTGGAGCACACCCTTCCCCAACCTGGCACCCTCCGGAGGTTTTACGCTATAACTCCCAGCAGCCACTGTTAGCACATGCGCCAAGGAAGGTTGCATTTGAGCCCCACAGGAATGATGCCTTGATTTGCTGGGTGGATGAGGTTTCTCCAGATTAACAGCCTCTCCTCCCTTTTCATTGCAGACATCGATGAATGCGCCTTATTTGGGGAGGAGATCTGCAAAGAAGGGAAGTGTGTCAACACCCAGCCTGGCTACGAATGTTACTGCAAGCAAGGCTTCTACTACGATGCAAACCTCTTGGAATGTGTTGGTAGGCAAGAGGGCCCAAAATGATGGGGAAAGGTGCAGGACTCCATCTTTTTTGGGGGGGTTGGCCCCCCCAAAAAACCCTCAACAACCGTATCCGGATTTTCACTTTTGGAAATATGGCAATTCTAGTCTATTTTTGTGTGTGTGTATCCTGTGAGTGACAACCTATCACCCAAAGCATAAAAACACCTTATACCATGGGCGTAGCCAGGATTTTTTTTGAGAGGATTTTGTTAGGAGCGGGGCAGAACCGATGTGATTGGTCAGTTAGTTAAGTATTTCTATTGTTTTACTTGATCTAGAGGGGGGCAGCTGCCCCCACCCCCCAGCAATGCTCATGCCTTATACTGAATCAGACCCTTGGTCTATCTATCTTATCTCAGTCTGTGCTTGGGTTTCTGGTTTTGTTGATGGTTATATTTCATTGTAGTATGTCACCTTGCATATTTTGACATTAATTAATTAATAATGATAGGCAGGTAAGCGTGCAACTTTAGCAGGCACGCTTTCTTTCTTTTTTAAAGACAGCAATATTTAGATTTCTGTCGCTACACCTTTTTAAGAAACACTGTGTTTTGTTTTTAAAAGGCAAGTAACTGTTTCTAGCAAGGCAACCCTTTCGCTTGCATTTATTTTTGATTTGGATTTGGCATGGCCAACAGCTAGTACGATAACGTTATTTGGATTGGATTGTTTCTAGCTCGGCTTTTAAAAATCTGTCGGAAAACAAGCAACACGTTGTGAAAGCAGTGTGTCATTTGGCAAAGGTTTGTAGCAAAGGGCATGTGGAAGCTAAAAAGGTGTAACGGTAGGCCTTGAACGCTCAAGATATCCTGCGTGTGTCAACTTTTTAGAGAGGAGAGGGGAAAAGTAACACTAAGTAGGATGATCTTCGCCCATAGGAACTGCACTGCCATTCTTTTTGATACACACACACAGAGTGGTACCTCTGGTTACGAACTTAATTCATTCTGGAGGTCCGTTCTTAACCTGAAACCGTTCTTAACCTGAGGTACCACTTTAGTAATGGGGCCTCCTGCTGTTGCCGCCATGCGATTTCTGTTCTCATCCTGAGGTAAATTTCTTAATCCGAGGTACTACTTCTGGGTTAGTGGAATCTTTAACCCGAAGTGTTTGTAACTTGAGGTGTTTGTAACCCGAGGTACCACTGTATACAGTGGTTCCTCGGTCTACAAACTTAATTCATTCCGGAAGCGTTCTTAAACCAAGGTGTGCTTTCCCTACTGAGGCCTTGTTCCGCCAGTGCCCTTCCACTGTTCGTCTTCCGAGGCAAAGTTCGCTAAGTGTGTGTGGAATACAGAAACTGCAAGACCTGAATTCCAATCCTGTCTCTCTCCTAGATGTGGATGAGTGTTTGGACGAGTCAAACTGTGTCAATGGGCGTTGTGAGAACACGCGCGGGAGCTTCCGCTGCTCCTGCCCTGCCTCCACCACCTATGACTCCAACCGTAAGAAGTGCATACCGGCCAGTGAAGTTGGTGAGTCCTGCCCCTTCCATTCTTGAAAAGCACACTTGGTTTGCCGAGTGGACCTCTGAGCTGGAGGTTTGAGGCTGGTTTCTAACGGCCGCACGTTCTTAAGAAAGCCCCAAGACGCAGTGTTTGGGGGTTCTTAGTTTGGAGAAAAGGTGAATTAAGAGGTGACATGATAGACCATGGGTAGGCAAACTAAGGCCCGGGGGCCAGATGCGGCCCAGTCGCCTTCTCAATCCGGCCCGTGGACAGTCTGGGAATCAGCGTGTTTTTACATGAGCAGAATGTGCCCTTTTATTTAAAATGCATCTCAGAGTTATTTGTGGGTCATAGGAATTTGTTCATTCCCCCCCCCAAAAAAATATAGTCCGGCCCCCCACAAGGTGGACCGGCCCCCTGCTGAAAAGGTTTGCTGACCCCTGTGATAGACTTTTATAAAACTATGCATGGCAAAGATATAAAGTGGATAGAGGAAAGTTCTCTCCCTCCCCCCACCTGGCTTACAACTCTAGAACTCGTGGACAGCCTACAAAAGCTGAATGTTGGAAGATTCAGGACAGACCAAAGAAAGCCCTTCTTCATACAGCACATAGTTAAACTATGGAACTCACTCCCACAGGAGGCAGGTGACAGCCACCAACTTGGGTGGATTTAAAAGGGGATTCGGACAAACAAACAGGCTGTCGGTGGTCTTCACAGTCTGTCTCCACAGTGGAGGCAGCAATGCTTTTGAATACCAGTTGCTGGAAACTGCAGGGGAGGACCGGGCTCTTGTGCTCAGGACCTGCTTGTAGGTTTCCTAAAGCCCTGGATTGGCCACTGTGAGCACAGGATGCTGGACCAGATGAGCCATTCTCCTGATCCAGCAGGCTCTTCTTATGCTAAAGGAATTCATTTCAAAGGCCACCTTGTTAAGAAGTTGGCTTTGCCAGTTTGAGCCTGGAAAAAAAGACCTCTCACAGGGCAAAACCTCAGTAGCAACAGAAGGGTGGAAGATAACAAGAATACCGAGCAATTGGGGCTTGTGGGCTGTAGGGTTCAGAATAGGCTTGGGAGCAGGGACATGCATAAAGAGACCCACGTAGAAGTGAGCAGCTGGCTCCCTGGTTGTCGCCTGCAGATCTGGATGAGTGCCAGGACCCCAGGGTCTGCAAACTTGGGCACTGCACCAACACCATCGGCTCATTCTCCTGCGAATGCCCGCCTCCCTTGACCTTGGACCCCAGTGGCAAGGAGTGCCAGCTCCCAGAGACACAAGCAGGTCAGCTCTATTTATTTGCAGCATTTTTATACCCATCTAGTAACATAAAGTTATTTGGTCAATGTGATTAAAGAACAAAAACAGAAAAACCCATGAAACACAACACTGACATAATTTTTTTTAAAAAAAGTTAAAGAGCATTAGGATCAAATCAAAGTAAATCTAGCATCTGCTAAAACAGCAGAGTCAGAAATCTACAGAACTTTGAAAGCTTGTAGATTTAACATATAGAATAAGAGAACAAGAAGAACATACGTTTAGAGAAGATTGGAAAACGTTTATTGAATATATTGGGGGGAAACTCTACATCTGAAAATGTTGGCAGCATTCAGATAAATTCAACAGTGTAAATAAGTTTTGATGGATGCAGTAATGGAATACTGAATGGTTTAGGTTTTGTAAAATATGCAGGGATTAGTGATGTGCAAAATGAACCATGGAAAGAGAAGAAGGGAAGTCACTGATATTTTAAGGATGTTTAAATGTGTATTTTAAATTGTCAAGCAGAAAAATTAATAAAAAATTATATATATAGAAATACTTTTTTTAAAAAGCAAGAAAATCTCTGTGCGCAAACGGAACCGAACCTCAGGCTACCCCCTCTTCCTCTTCCCACTTCGCAGACAGGGTGACCGACCTTCGCGACGTCTGCTGGCAGCAGAGAGGGGAGGACGGGATGTGCTCCTCTCCGTTCAATGGCCAGCAGCTGAGCTACGAGGAATGTTGTTGCCGCTACGGCAAAGGCTGGGGCTACCACTGCCACGCCTGCCCACTGCGTGGCTCAGGTAACCGTAAGCGCTGAGTTCATGGGGAGGGAGGAGTGGGAGATGGGGGGTAGTTGGCTGAGGGGGAAAGTGCCCTTGAGCATTGAGAGTCTGACCTCTCCACATACCAGGAAGTTTATGGAGGCAGCCCAGCGTGTCAGCGTGAAACTATTTCCTTCAGCAATGTCTGGGCCCAGGAATCCTGAAAAGCAGAGTGACTCTGAGCATGCAGAGAGTCAAGAGATTTAATTTATACCCCAAATCCAGCTCTTCTTAGTATGGGAGACATGGAACAGTATGGAAGATATAGGTGCCACTGAGCACACACAGAGTGCTTTCCATCTTCCCACCAAAGAGGAGCCTCTTACACATTTGGGGCTAGGCTATGAGCCCTGGCATATCCCACTCTTTCCCTATAATTATAACGCTTGTGCCCACTTTTTTTGCCTATCATTATGAGGGTGACTTGGGAGCAGGTGTGGCCCAAGGTGACGAGGACTGCTGTGGTGTTTATTTCTCCCCCAGGCCTTAACTGCCAGTCCACTCCAAGTGAGAGCAACTCGTTTTGGGACTTCAGCGCTTTGTTTGGCAAGGTGCACAAAGGTGAGAGTTTTAAGATTGCCTTACGCCCACTCAGCCACTCCGATCTGCGGAACTTGCACTATTATGGGTTACACATAATTCTCGTTCCACATTGGTAAGAAATTGATCTTTTAGTACAGAAGCACCCACACTTTGGAGCTCCCTGCCTATTGACTTCAGGTGAGCGCTGTCACCATACTTTTTGGGGGCCCAACATTTTTATTTAGGCAAGCCCGTCCAGACATGTAGAACGTTGGCATGTGTTTTAATCTGGTTTTTATCTTATCACTGGTCTTAATTATTTTTTGAATGTTTCAAATAGTTGCTCCTAACTGGATCTTGTTTTTGTTTTACTGATCATTTCATTGTTTCATTCTTTTGTAAACTGCTTTGAGTTTTTTGTTTGTTTGTTTTAATCAAGTGGTACATAAATTTTATGAACTAAATGGAGACAGGGGTGGTGTTCAGGGGCCATCTGTCTGTCTGTCTGTCTGTCTGTCTGTCTGCAACAGCTATAACTTAGGGGAGTGGGAGGGCATGGAAACAGATAAACAACTACATGACTCTTAGAAGACATCTGAAGGCAGCCCTGTATAATGAAGTTTTTAATGCTTGATGATTTATTGTGTTTTTATATTTTGCTGGAAGCTGCCCAGAGTGGCTGGGGCAACCCATCAGATGTGCAACTACTTCTACTTCTTCTAATAATAATAATAATAATAATAATAATAATAATAATAATAATACAAAATGAGCTAAAATAAAGTGAAGGATGTGCCATTTTTTACTTCTCCCCCCCAAAAAAAAACACCCCTTCCATTTTGAGGCTTCTCTCACTGAGCCCCTCCTGAAGGTGAAAGCATCCATCATTATTTGGACACTAGCCTGTTTCCTGCTTCTTTCCCCACCCCAGATGCGGACAGCTCCGAAGAGGATTCCGATGAATGCCGCTGTGTGAATGGCCACTGCGTCCGCACCCAGCAGGGCCTGGTCTGCGAGTGCTCCCCGGGCTTCCAGCTCGATGCCAGCCATACCCGCTGTCTGGGTAAGGGGGTCATAGCATGGACATAGCACTCTTGGCCAGGCTGAACACTGGAGGGTACATTACAATGCCTCCAGACACCCCACCCCTACCCCACCCCCACCCTCTGACCCCACATCATCCAGGGTTCTCCTTTTTAGGGAATCGACTCCACTCTCCTGTCTGCAGAGGGTTTTGGGTTGTGGGATGCTGGGCAAAGCGTGGACTGCCATCACCTCTCTTGGTGAGCTCTGAAGGGCTTACCTGGTCACTTGTGGCATTTGGGCAGCAGTGTTGGGCGGCCATTTGCAATTTCCCATAATGCCCCAGAGTGATGCTAGATTGGAGATATGGTGAGGAAGTGGACATGACTCAGATGCCGTTGCTCTGCTTGGGAAAGCAAATTTAAAGGGAGCCCAAGGCAGTGGGCTCCTGCCATGGCACTGGGTTCCTCAGCAGCTGCCCAATTGTGCCAAGTTCTGGCGCTGCCTACCCCTTCTTCTTTTCCTTATTTCTTTTCCTTTCAGATATTGACGAGTGCCTGGAGCTCAATCACCGAGGGCTTCTGTGTAAAACCGAACGCTGCGTGAACACCAGTGGCTCCTACCGCTGTGCCTGCAAGTTGGGCTACGTCCGCTCTCGGCCCCATGGGATCTGCATCCCCCAGCGCCAGCGGTAGCGGGATGAAGTGGGGAGAGTGAAGGAGAGAGTGCGGCTGTAAGGAGGCCAGTGCCCTCCCTCCTGCTCTGGCGACCTCTTGGCTGCCTGCTTCCGGAAACTGTATAGTGGGCTAGGAGGACATTTTTGTCTGGAACCAAAAAGGCATTTCTGACATTCTTGAGGACTCTTTTTTGTTTGTTTGTTTGTTTGTTTTTGTACCGGCTACAATGAAGGGGCATTGATTTGATGTTTTGTTATATAGGCTGGCTCCCCTGTCCCCCGTTTTACGCTCCCCAACCCACCAGATATTTATCATTAGGGTTAAAAAAAACTGCAGTTGGTTTGCACTTGTTTCTGTAGGCTTCAGAAATAAAACTCCTTTTTTTTTGTACATAATCGATGTTGGTGGGGGTAGGGTGGGGGAAACAAACAAGTTTCAAAGTTAATCAGCCAATTAAAAAAAAGAAAAGGGAGGAAGATCCTGTTACAGTTTCTGTTGTCCGATTCTGTTAACAACAAGGAAAGGCTGCAATTTGAAAATAAATTGTCAGGGCTGCCTCAGGTCCCAGCTCACAAGAGACCAACGCCAAGTCCAGTTTATATACAAAAATGTTTATTGAAGTTCATTGTACGCTCCACAGCCGAGGCGCACAGCCCCACGTCTGTTACGCTTAGACCGCTGCAGTCCCCTCTGAGTCAGTCCCTCCTCTGCACCAGTTTAAGAGGGCTGTGCTGCTCCACCTCTTCCTTTCTTTCCTTTTCTGCAGGGTCTTTCTGCCCCCTGGGGTTTCGCCCCTCCTGGATTCCCCTGACGCTGAATCCCCAGACAGCTCTTCCCCCCTCCTGCGTGCTTTGGGACCTGGCTCCTCCTCCGGGCTCCCTGTGCTTCCGCGCGCCTCCACATTTGAACTTGGCGCGCGTTCGCAACCTCTAACCTTCCCCTTGACAGTTACACTACTCCCTGCACTACTTCCCTCCCCTTCCGGGAGGATGTCTTGCTCCGATCTCCCCTCCCTCTCTGCTTTCGGATTTGCTTCCCCTGTCACACTGGAATCTCCACCCCCTTCGCTGCGCTCTGGCGGAGAAGCCGGTCACGACTCCCAGCTCCCACTTTGGGTTCCCCTGCTGATCCCCTGCTCCTGATGAGTCCCCCCTGTGACTCCCCTTGGCCTTACCACAGGCGCCCCCTTCTGGGAATCCTCCGATTCACTCGAAAGACTCATGGAATCCCTCAAGTCATCGTCATCCTCTTCCTCGCTGTCCTGGGATTCTTCCCCCTCGCTCTCCGTCTCCTCCCTCACCTGTGCCTCTGTCCCTGAACCCCTGACATAAATAAAAAGTCAGTGGGAAGTTTGGGGATGGGTTGGGGAATAAAAAGGGCATTAAACAAGTATTAATTTAATAAGATGCTGCTGTGCTTGGAATAGGGTAACATGTATACTCTCTAGTGAAGTCATTATCTGAATGTGGATTGCTTTGTTGCAACACTATTGATCTCAGCATGGTCCAGGTCTTTATTTTATGTCACCCTTCCCCCCCCTCCCCCGTGAGCCAAGTCTGACAAATGAGCAGGGCCACCCACCTGTCCATCATTTGGTGTCAGGATGGCATCCGGTGACTGATAGGAAGGCAGTCCTGCCCCTCCATTGAAGTTGACCTGCAGGGTTCTTCTTCTGCAGTGTGTGCCATGCATGGAATGCACAGGTGAAACATGCCCCCTGCAGAATTGAACCCTGCCCTTCAGGCGATATCAGCTGATAGGTCAGCATGGTTTGGAGGAAATAGCCTTTAGAGCCAACTTAGGACACTCCCCAGTTGGCCAAGATAGGTTCATGGGCCGGACGTTCTCCCCACTTCCACCTATGCTGATGCACAACAGAGAGGTGTGAGCAGCTTTGGTGAAAACCCAATATGTGGGGGGGAAACTTCAGTTAAAACCAGTAAGTGGGAGGGAGGGAGGATACTCCAAAATCTCTGAGCATGCTCCATGGGCACAGAATGGGGGCTGCCAGAGGAAGAAAACAAAGCAAAGGGAGTAAAGGAGGACATGTTAGCGTGTCCTGAATGAAGCACCGTACCTCAGTGGGGGAGCATATACTTTGCACACAGAAGGGCCCAGGGTCAAACCCTGCAACCTCCCAGGTAGAGGTGGGAGACACCTGCTGCCCTGAAAACCCTAGAGAGTTGCTTCCAGTCAGTGTAGCCAACAAGGAGCTATATGGACCATTGGTCTGACTTGGTATCTTTCTAATGAAGGCAGGAAGGCATTATATAAATCTAATAGACAAACAAATCAAATAGCAAAAGACAACATAATTTGTACAAGATAAATATGCAAGAGAAATCTAAGTGCCCCCCTAGCCAACTTAGGTTACCCCAGTGAAGATGGTCTCCCAGCACCTTTTTGTATTTTCTGACTGGTGGGCCCCAATTTTTGCATCATTATTTTCCTTAATTAACAGTTTTGGAGTCTTGCCCCCCCCCAAAGCTGGCCATCAGCTGTTTTGGTACCAATCTATTAAAAAGGGCCTTGACCCAGCAAATTATGGCCAATTAGCCTGTTAGATGTCCCAGGGAAGATATATCTCTCCTTGACAAACTAGCAGATTGGGTAAAAGATCATGTTCTGCTAAAGTCGGGACAAGCTGGCTTTTGCCCAGGCAGATCAACTTTAGAAAACTGCTTTATGCTTTAAGTACATCATTGATAAACACTTGGCTGGAATTGTGAGATATGTTTACGTGGCCTTCATTGACTTGAAAGCTGCTTTGGATTCTATCTCTCGGGAATGTCTTTGGACCAAACAAACTACAATCTATGGAGATTGATATGCAGGTATATAATGGCATATAAAAGCATAAATAAGCATATAATGGTTCTATATGCTGGTACACCTCTGCAAGTTAGAATTGTTGGGGGTCATTTATCCAACTCTGTTCCAGTCACAAAAGGAGTAAAACAAGGATGTTTCCTCTCCCTCTTCTTTTTAATATGTTTATAATTGAAGTAGTTGAGTTTCTGAGAGGTGAGCACTACTTCCCAGTGAAAATTGGAAATCAGAAATACTCCAGTCTCCTTTATGCAAATGGTGCTATCCTGGTCTCCTATGCCCAAATGGGCTTGCACAGACTTGAATTGGTTCAGTTTGTACTGCAGGAATGAACACCTCTCTTATCAATTACCAACCCCCCAACCCACAAAAGTTATGATATTTGGTAAATCCAAGAAAATTCACAATTGGTCACTTGATGGAAATAAACTGGAGCAAGTACTCTCTTTCAAGTACTTTGGTGTAGTTTTCCACTGGACAGGTAAATGGTCTGCACAGGTTCAGTCAAGCACCTTGTTAGTTGGTAGAACTTTAAATGGACTCTTACGATTCCATCGCACAAAAGGGGGCAACCTGGTCCAGCCCAGGTTACAAGACAGGGTGTTGCCAAAACTCCTATAGGGAGCATCGCTGTGGGCTATGGCCAATTTAGATTCACTGGAAATAGCACAAAATAAAATTTTGCTCACACTCCTGTCAGCCCCTGTTTCTACAAAAATAGCATTACTCCATGCGTAATTGGGTGTAATGCCCATTAAAGCTGAAGCTCTTAAAATGGCCCTGCTTTCCTGACTTAAAAACTATTTTCAAGCAGGTATCACATCTTCTCTTGGCAATTTTGGTAGAGATGATGCCCAAACTCATGGAAGTGTGAAATGCGGTTGGCTGCCATGAGACATCTGGTAGTCTACAAATGTTAAAATGAGGGTAGCCTTTATGCAGGCAAGATTAAATGTTCTCCCATTAGCAGATTGGAGGGCTCGACATAAAGGAATTCCTAAGAAGAGTCTGTGGCTGCAACTCGGGCTGGATCTTCTAGACACACCAGAAAAACGTTTCAGGAAAATGCATTGCAAACCTCATAATGGGACTAGAAATCACATTGCTGAAAGATGGAACTCTACAGTGCCATCTGGTGTAATGGTGTTATAATGCATTTAAAGGTAAAGGTACCCCTGCCCGTATGGGCCAGTCTTGTCAGACTCTAGGGTTGTGTGCTCATCTCACTCTATAGGCCGGGAGCCAGCGCTGTCCGCAGACACTTCCGGGTCACGTGGCCAGCGTGACAAGCTGCATCTGGCGAGCCAACGCAGCACACGGAACGCCGTTTACCTTACCGCTGGTAAGCGGTCCCTATTTATCTACTTGCACCCGGGGGTGCTTTCGAACTGCTAGGTTGGCAGGCGCTGGGACCGAACGACGGGAGCGCACCCCGCCACGGGGATTCGAACCGCCGACCTTTCGATCGGCAAGTCCTAGGTGCTGAGGCTTTAACCCACAGCGCCACCCGTGTCCCTTGCATTTAAAATTTTACTAATGTAGCTGAGTCCACGGTGTCAATAGAAGAATGCCCTTTCTATAATGATTTTAGAAACAATTATGTCTACCCACTGTTAAGAGTGCGGAAGGGAAGGTCATCCCTTGCCAAGACCTGGTTTTTTTTGCTGTCTGATGCAGAGAAGTGCATATCTTTCAGAACATTCAAATTTCTTGTAGCACTCTACAGAGCAGCGCTACAAAACTGAAAAGATGTATGGGAAATTATGTGTTTTTTAAAAAAGGATAAGGAGTACAAATGCATATCATCATCATTATTATTGCTATCATTTTTAATGTTTATATTGGCTGTTTTCTAAAACACAATAAACTGACTCTGTAGCCCCCACTTAAGTTCCAACTTAGCCAACAAGTACCTACTTAGCCCACTCAGTTTTGGGGGGCAGCACTAAATGCGGGGTTTGCGGCACCAAACCAGCAGATCACTTTGGCTCTGGTATGGAGTCAATCTGACAAGGTTGGTCTTTGGGCCATTTAATTAAGATCCCAGTTTGGGTGTCAATTACTCAGTTTGGGAGCTGGCACAAAATGTGGAGTTTGAGGCACAAAACTAGCACTAAACTTTGGCACCTGTTTGGAGTCAATTGGACAAGGTTGGATTTTTTGGCATTCTTGTGCTGCCACTGTCCCCAGGCCAGAAAAGGCTGCTTTATCCTTTTTAATAAAATAAAATAAAATCTCCAGAAGCGAAATTGAGATTTGCCCATCAAAAACAATGGAGAAACTCCAGAATGTTAGTGTTGCAACCCCAACAATTTCAGATTGTTAGCACTGACTCCTTCCTTCCTTCCTTCCTTTTTAATTTGCTTGTAGGCGATTAAGAAACTTTGCTAAGAAGTCTCGGATCTTACTTTGTGTGAATCTTGAATGTTTGACTGCTAAGTTCTCTTCTGCTCACTTTCTCTGCAGTTTAGAAGTGTGCTACAGATGCCAGCGAAATCCACAATTCTCTCCCTGCCGCTGCAGAAGAGAGGGGGAGGCTTACGACAACCCTGCAGTGTAGTCCACTCGTGGTTGATATCCCTGTGAGGAGGTGGAGCCAGAAAGTGACTGACCATTTGCAGCCAAAAGGAAGGGGGGGGGAGAACAC